TTTTGTGAGTGAACATGTACCGGTACATGTAGCTTCCTCCCTCCCTGTGTTTGTATTGAAAGTAGCCATTGTGATTTATGCTACCCTTACTTGCAACACAAAAGCGCTTTGGACTGCATGCTGTAATCAGACTGATCCTCACCTCCTGAGAGGGTTTAAGGAACTGTCGCCATACTGCCGACCTCCTTAGAACTGATCGGCCAGCGCTGCTGTCTGTGGCATGATTCCTGTTCGCTTTCGAAGCTGGAAGTATAGGATTTGGTACAGTTAACTGATCATACAATGTTAAAGTTAAGCCTGACAATGTTAATAAGTGCTGGGGGCACAACTCCTCTCAGCACCACTCTGCCCATTGGGGCTAAGATCCCTCATACGCCCAAGGCACTGCACTCAACTGCTGCCCCACCTATGACGATGTAAAAATGAACGTTATGAGACAACATTGATGCGAGCCACATCACCATTTCAATTCATGGCCGCAGATAGATTTAATCAGGACACAGTTTTCTGTTTGTACCTGCCTCCAAAATCCATTGTCCAACTGCTGACAATTTCACCATTTCCCTGGCATGGGAGGTATAGAGGGGGTACTGTCACTTGCCAAAGGTGACCCCTTAGACTAGTGCAGAGCAGGAGTCGTCTTACTTCTCCAAAGTTTTAGACCGGCTCTGAGCAACCATCCACTCTATCAATCAATCTATTTTTCTGCTCCAACCACAGGCTGTGTAGTTATGGGAGGGAGGCTTGCTTTTGAGCCACCAAAATTCTTAAAATTCACATTTCCTCGCCGCCTTTATAAACTCGTCATGGTTGAGGTGGGATGATGATGCCACAGCTAGCTCTAGAAGCGTTCCAATGCAGTTTCCAGGCTGTTTGTAGGAATCGGCATTGAATACGCCTAGTACATGTAGAGTTTTTTGGTGTAGCGCTGGTTAAGTTGGCATATCAGGTGTGCAGTGAACTTGCTGCCACAAATTCGTGAAGAGGTGAGGACTGGCAGAACTCGTTTATCGTCATTAGAGTACTTGTAGCGTTGCTCATTTTCAGCTGTTGGAGCTCGACGGAAGCCACTGCACAAAGCGGCGCAAGAGCAGGGTATGGGTCGAGGTGAGGCGACACTCCTGTGCTTTCATAAGCGTCCTGTCTGGCACTCTTACGTCAGTCACGCTCGAATGAATGCCCGAAAGAATACGGTACCTGCATGCTGCCCAATTCACCATGTTCACATCCTGGGATTATGTACCGGTACAAGTTGATGGGTTGTTCCATTTAAAATTTAAGCTGAGGAGAATTATCATCCAGGGGGAAATATTCTCACACAAAACAATCAAAAAAAATTAAGAAACTTACATACTGTGCAGAAATAATCAATAATCAGATAAATTTGAAAAAGCATGTTCATGCCTTCATGGATTCTTAAAATTGTGAATTTCCATTGTTAAATCTGTGATAAAAAACTTTTATACAAATTTACAACACACTGAGTTTGTATAACAAGAAATGTCCAGAACAGACAATACATTTATACTCGTGGAATGTGATTCAAAATGCTACATATTGACAAGTAATTAATGAGAAGGATTTAGTTTAGACTACCTGCTAAATGACAAAAATGATAAAGCACAATAAATTGTGTGCACTGCCCATCACATACACTTTGAATTTTACCTACAGTAGGCCTACAAGTCTTTTTACACATAAATTTCACACTCATGGAACAATTAATTAAATGTAATTAAATGTTTCATGGAATATGAAGATGTTTGAGATTGTGATGGCTTGAAGGAAATACTTTTACCTGTTTGGGGTTTGACATTGGAAAGTCAATTGTGGTACCGGTAATTGTATCTGAAATCCCTTTTCCAAAAACTATTTAATCCATTCAGAATTAATACTGCCATTATTGGAGTCTCACATGTACATGTTCATTGTATGTTGGTTTACGAACTTTACATAAAAATGTACATGTACATGTATGTACATGAGATACAAAAAAAATCAGCTCAATTTTAAAACGAGTCTAATGTAGTTAAGGCCATTTTCTATTTTTATTGTAATTTGTTAGGTGACACTGATGCTAACGTGGCTAAGTAAAGGTGTAATTTAATTAGTCTGTGCTTCAACTGATACAAAAGTAAAGGCATTCTTCCTGATGGTGACACCCCTCTCAGTGCAGTCCATTAGTTCAATTTGATTACATGACTAATTTGATATGATTAAATTCTACACTCGTGCACAACAAAACGTGTCAATGGAGCCAGCAATCCACTGCACAATTTACATCCAGCCTCATTGTAAATGCATCCCGAGGCCCGTGACGTAAATGCAAAATTATTCATGCGAGCTATGTGTAATTACTACTTGCCGCCATGGTGAAAGACAAGCATTCCTAACGCCCTTCTTAACCTCCGTGGCTGCATAAATTTGTTCCGACACAATCCCCTTAAAGGAGGGGTCAACTTTCTGCAGAAATGAACTGCATGTAGATTTGTATTGGACAGTAGCTCAAATATGCAGGACATGCAATGCACAGTATGCAATCAAATGTAAGCCAAGAAATTTACCCCCAAAAATGTCTTTAATAGTACATATAGGAAAAATGGAAAACAAGTATGTGTATTGAACATCATCATTTAGGATGACGATCTGATGTGGTCAAATGGGACAATACTTGGAGCAATTGACATTGTTTATGTAGACCAGTAGACCACCACTAGACCGCTAGCCACAAAAAAAGCACTAGACCTGCACTAGTATCGCTAGATTACTCAGTCCATTGGTCCAGTGGGTATTGCAGGGCGTATTCAGTTTTCATGCCAATATTGCATCAAAAACACTACTTCATGTTTTTAAATGTCAAAAGTAAGACAGGTCTGTATTTCTAACACGGATATGCCCCCTTCCTCCATGGCACAGCTAGAATTCGTCGTGTGCCCGGCAGAAGGGCATAAGTGTGCATATGCCCTTATGCAATGTAGCGTAATGACCAAAATGTTCCCAGCAAAAGGGCATATGCAGAAAACTGCCTCCATTTTAATGAAATTATAACATTTTCGTCAGAAATTAATACGGGTTGTTCCTAAACTTATGATTCATACGTGTGACAAATTTCAAATTCGTACGATTTATATTATGCGTGGGAGAACATTGGATACATAATGCGCGTGAGGGAACAATGGAACCTTTCAATGCAATTTTCTTGAAAATGATTTTTGCGTCAGAACGCTCATATGCCCTTCTGCCGGGAACCCGACGAATTGTTAATGTCGGACACACACAAGACAAGTTGCTTACCGCCTCTTCACGTGTTGATGCGCCCTTGGCAGAATGCGTTCTGAGAATCATAGACGTCCGTCTTGAACAGAATTTCATCTGAAATGTCAGTTATTCCTCAGCCAGCCAATGCATTCCTAACCTGATTGAATTATGATGGCAAGGACTGGGCTTTCCTGTACGGCTTACATACACAATGCTTTGATGTAATACAGAGTACATCATGTTTGTTCCTTGGAATGTCTGATCTTTCAACACCAACTTGCACTTAAAGATGAAAGTCTTACATTTGTAAGTTGTACAGTTGATTACAAGATAGCGTTAAAGACACAAATATTCAGTTTACATGCCAGTTGCATCAAAAATACTTTTTATCTCGTAAATGTCAATATTAGGCTGGACATTGTCAAATAAAGACAAGTGATTGGGATTTGAAACTGCTATTTCTGCCGGATGCCTCGACGGAAAGACTTATCATTCACTCAGTTGATGTCTATTACGTGTACTGTAATGAATCTCATGAACACATTCCTGTGTTCAAAATGAAATAAGTTTGTCCCTTTAATGTCTAATTATCCAGCTACATTTATGTACCGGTACATGTACACATGTACACATTTTTGGTCAGATTTGAAAATTTCAATGTTTTTGTGATTTCCCCCTCCCTTCACGTCATACCCAACCGCGGCACCGCCCTCCCACACTTCTCAATACAGACCTTTTGTGTGCATTGCACATTATTTACACAGTGACAGGGATCTGACTCGTTAAATTATTTTTAATCACCATGCTGATTTAGTTCAGTTAATACATGTAGATGTACATCCACCTATTGACAAACATTTTCTGCTTCAGAATAGTCTCCACAGCTACAGTACACATGCACCATTATGTATGTTTTGAACCAAAGTTTTTTTCCCCAGATATAACAAAGATCTACATACCTGTACATGTGCTTTGGCAATTTATGTGCAGTAACTGCCAACATTTCATTGTACAGCATCTACACTCATGAGCATGGCAGGAACAACTAAATATTTATACCTAACTAATGTGATCTTGCACACATTTTTATTTAATACGTTTAACATTTGTACAGACATGTACAACAGAAGATGTATCTGTTTTTGAACTAAGATTCAGCATGTACAGTACATTTTAACAATGTTTACATGTAATGTACATATATCTAAAGTTTCAAGAAAAATACTGGTAGTACCCCTCAAGCATGGAGGAAGCTAGGCCACAAATCATGTTTGCTTGAAATTTGTGCTTAGTGCTTCGTTTTTTTGGTGATTAGAGCAAAGTGTCATTTTAAAAATGTACACATAAATAGATCTATAACAGCCTACATGTGTACATACATTGTAGACTGGGTAGGTACCGGTATGTACATCTACATTGTATACATGTATGTCTGCATGCATTCCTTACACATGTGAATGCTTTTTCAATGCATCACGACTACATGTACACAGTTAATCGTATGTAGTGTACATCTATTCCTTCATCCATGGTACCGGTACATGTACATGTATGCGTGTACACATGTGATTCTTTGGCAGTGTTGGATTTTTTATGCGCCCTTTATGCATCCTGAATAAACCCTGTTTACTAAAGAACCACACAGACACAGCTGCCTGCAATTTCATTGGCCAATTCTGGGGGTGTGGTGGGAGGTGTGGGCGATGCTATGTAAACAGAATGGTAATTTCATTCTAGATTGTACTGGTATGCCTGTACACTGTATGCAGGGACAGTGAACATGCAGTTGTGCACGTAGGCATTCATTCATAGTGCACATGTATGCAACAGGGACACAGGTACCGGTAACAATGTGTACACCAAGTGCTACAGTTTGTGCTTCCCAATTTTAACCATGGCAGGGTTTGCGTGAAGAGATCTTAAACATTTGGTCCATGGTAATCCTGTACATTTGTGGTTTCTGCATCTGAATCGTGAGTACATATTCAGTACTTATATGTAATGTACTTTGTGTTTCGTGTATAGGGCTGTCTTTAGTGAATCACTATTATTTTCTATTATTTTCTATTTTCTGCTGGAAAACCTGAAGTCCCAATTTTCTCCTTGGCCTGATGACACTGTTACCCAGCAACTTTAATTAATAAATCTGTAGAACAGTCTGCATGTAGACAAATCTGAATTTCTGGTACCATTTGTACAAAAACAAGCTTTGTGGATTTGTGGCCGTGATCACTAGTTCACTTTAGCACTGTTGACGAGAGATGACCTCTCACAGCAAGATCGCTTTACTGTGACGATCAAATGGCGTTAATCAGATTTGATGACCTCTTCTATAGACTAACCTTCAATGGCTATTGGCTACGTACATGTATAGAAAAGTATTTGAAAACAAAGCAAAACAAAAAGCAAACACAAATTGAATGTAGGTTTGTTGTTACCCAAAAAACAGAACTCCCAAATCTTCCAAATTTCAATTTTGCAGGAATCAAATAACACATTCTTTGGACTTCAGCTTCCAAGTTTCATACAAAGCACAAGTGGTTTGACCCTGCAAACTCCAAAAAAATGTATTTCCAGTGGATCATTTTGTTGCTTTTGGAGGAGTCAAACTACTGTCAAAGCCTTCACAAAGTTGTGGCATGATTCATCATATTTTTTGTGTCTGTTGCTGTTTCCTTTTTATGAGTAATAATTCCTTTTGTCAACTGACTGCGACAAGGCTTTCTGATGAAAACAAATATTTTGGCACTGATAAGTGATAATGGATTGAAAAGATTTGGATGAAGGTTATTGTCCTTCCAAACTGTTTTTGTCTGTGGCAAAACTGTACACTCTGAAAGAACTGTAACAGTTAAGCTGAAGTTAATTTCGTTTCAGTTGAATAAGTACGGGTGTTATTTTTTTTTCTGTCTGAAGGGAAATGACCTTTGAGTTCTTTTCCTTTTTGTGATGTTTTGCAAATATTGTAAGTGCTGAGAAGGTTATTACATGCAAGCATGGAGTCCATGAACATGATGAAGAATGGAGCTGGGGGGGGGGGGAGGTACGGACTAGGCCATTGTACCCAGCACCATACTGTATGCATGTACAGAGTTCATGGGGTATAGGAAATTATTTGTATACATGTATGTGTCGACAACAGCGGAATCTCGAAAAATCAAACCTCAGGCATGTCAGGAGAATTGGCTCAAATTTTGAGTTACATGTAAGCAGAGTTGTGAGTTATCCAATAGATTTTCTAATCAACAACAATTGAGGGGAATAAGTTTTTACTTTGAGTTAGAAGGGTTTTTGAGTTAACAGGTTTTGACTTGTCGAGATTGTATTTTACATGTACCGGTACCGGTATTTTTGATGACCCTGTACAGTGTACCTGCACATGTACAAATGTACATGTATACGTACCGGTACATGTATTTGTATGATACTGTCTGATAAGTGGAGGCCTGCAATACATTTACTTGATGACTCCCACTGTGCATGCAGTGATTGCAATCAACATGTGTTCTCACAACCAGCAAATTTCTGTTACACTAACATACATGTACACTCAGTTGCCAGTACATGTACATGTACCTGTACATTGTATCTGTATGAAGCAAGGTCAACTTCAATACATGTTTTTGATGTGCACACACAATTACACATGTACCGGTATTACCATGCCTATGTGTATGAGTTTAATATTTATTGGATTTTATTGAGACTTCCGTTTAGGTCATCTTTTCAGTGTTTTGTGTACATGTAGTTTACTGTTATGTACCGGTAATTGATTCAGATTTTTCTATCAAAACTTTGACTAGGAATCTACGTGAATTTCTCTGAAGTTGGTCCATTTTCAACTGAACACGTATGCCACATGTAGGGATGGTCTCATTTTCCTACCAATGTGAAAGTAGTGAGAACTTTGATTGCATCATCTATAGAGCACTCCACAAAAAATACTGTTCTGTGACCAGGTGGTAAAACAATAAATAGCAGTAGTTTTAACTTAGTTATGAGCTCTGAATTCAGACTGTGACAATTAAACTAGGCTATACGTTGCTGGATCATACATGTATATTAACAGACATGACAGATAAACATCTGTTGCAAAGAAGCGTCTTGTTTTTTTTTTCTCCACATTTCGCAGTTTTTTTTTTTCACTGACTAGGTCTTCTCTCTTTCTTTTCTTTGTAGTTACTGTCTGTCTGTGTGTTGCAGTTGAAATTTTGGAAGACAGTGCAGGTTATGCAATGTACCACTACACAACTGGAACTGGAAGGATATAAGGTAGTTTCTCTAACGGTTCCTTTTTTACTGAGCTAGAGTGTTATGTGATAACCCTTGTTATTATTAATAATTATTTCTGGTACTGAAACCAAGGATTCCTCAAAAGCACTCTAGGCACTGTAGCTCAAAAACCTGAAGAAACCTGTAGAGAGATGAGAACAAGAAGAAATTACAGTTTTAGAGGTGGGAGGAAAACCCCAGAGGAATACCCTCGGGAAAACCCACGTAATTAGGTGGGGACTGAAAACCCAATCCACAGGTGGACTGGGGCAGGAATCGCACCCGGGTCACAGCAGTGGAAGGCAAGGAAAGCACCGCGACACCAACCATTTGACTTACTGACAACCTGGCTTACAAATAAATAACATCACAGATATAATTGAGAATTTAAAAAGAGGCTTTTGTAATACATGTAAGTTTGCTGTAGGTGCATTCCTCTCATATTTAGATGCTATCGCCATATTCATTTGAAATGCTAGTGCGGCGTACTGTATCACCATAAGTGCGGTGTACCCAAACCATTGTGTCCAGACTGTGTCTTTCACTGGCTGTTGAGAGTAGTCCATGCAAAGTCGACATTCTACAGTCCATAATTTAGCGTCACCATCAAACTAGTGCATTTTAAGTTGTCTATAATTTTCTTCGTGTTTGCTACAGAATCGCAAAGAGTAAATAAGACCACCCTACCAACATGCTGAAGGCCCAGGCATCGCGTGCCTTGCAGCTGAGACACCTCCACGGCCGATCAACCACTCAGCCATTCAGCCAAGCTGTACTCAACTCAAGAAGCTCATCACTCAGTCACTATGTCACAGTCAGGACCGCTGCGAGTCATCGTGGCAGCAGCAGCAGCGATACCGGTGACTCATCAGCAAGCGCAGGCGGGAGAAGCTCCTTCTCAACAGTCTCTCCCGGGAAACACAAAGTGGAAAGGGTACCAATCAATAAAGTCATGGTGGCCAATAGGGGTAAGAACCTGGGTTACCATTTCCTTGTTGTAATAAACGAGTTTGGTATTTGCTGCCTAAGTGTGACATTACCATCGCAATGTTACAGAACATTAGAACCTGAAATGGTGAAGTTCTGTTTCATCAGATTGTCATCACACTCGTTAAAACCACAGTTGTACTTATTTTCGCTTCCCAGAGGAGATTCAAGCCAATTATAAAACTTGTGTTCACAGCTGCCATTGCAAAACAGTGTGTTAATGTGGGCCACTGCGGTGTGTGTGATCCACCGTGGTTGCACCAAGTTGACCTCTGAGTGATATCCCAACTTTGGCAGCATATTGAAACTGTGTTTCTAACTTTGACAAGTTTCTTAATAGGATGATACAGTGTACATATATTTACTGAGGTATCCATCAAATAAGAAAAAAAAATCTTCCAAATTAAGTACAAACTTCTGAACTTCGTATTCTGTAATTCATGCTCCAAGTGGTGTAATTTCCATTATCATTTGAGTCGCACGAAAGACTGCAGACTTAGTTACCAGTGCCCAGGTGGACGTGTGTACCTATCTGCTGAGTTGATTCTTGACAGAATACTGTCACATCTTGATGTGCCCATGTGCAGTTGTACATGTAGTAAGGACTGGCTTAAGGCCAGTTCATACTTCACGCGATTGCGAATTCCAAGCGAATTTGACGTCATGAATCATTCGCTGCAAAATTTGCCGGAGTTGAAATGTGTTCAGTTGTTGCGAATTCGCAGCGCGAAAACTTGACGTGACATCACAAATTCGCATTCTCACTCCGCTTTTGCCCAGACTATGAACCGGCCTTAACATGCATTAATATCACTTTTGCGAAGTTGGTTACAAAATAGAGTACCTTTCTTCTTGAAACATGAAATATTAAATTGTTGCATGATTAGGTGCTCAGAATGATGAAAAAATCTCAGCAATGTCCATTTTTTTGTGACAGTCATTCTAGAAATTGAGTGAGTTTTAATAAATGACAAAAGACTTACTCTCATGAAAATTTTGATTCAGGATGTTTAGGGCAATAGTTATTTGGTTGTTTTGGGGTTAACACTCGTGTATTTATACATTTATTTCACTAATGAAAACATTGCTAGTCAGAAAAACTTGTTTATAGGGGGAAAAAATGCTTTTAGTGAAAAACATGTTCCATGAACTCACATTACAAAATGTGTATAACGTCGCGTCAGTGCAACAAGGTCGTAACTCCATTCTGCAAGAAAGTCGTATATCGCGGGAACATGCTCCGTGCAACAAGGTCGTATCTCGACGTTATTGACTTTGCGTGTACATCCGGGTTATATTAAGCGAGATACGACCTTTTGACAATCTGAAACTCGCATTTTGCATTCCTGCCATTTTAGGAGATACGACTTTGTTGCATTGACGTGACGATAATTACCATACCCCTAAAATATGCATTGACCATTTCAGGTGAAATTGCCATCCGTGTTTTCCGTGCCTGCACTGAGCTGGGCATAAAGACGGTCGCCATCTACTCGCAGCAGGACAAACGTAACATGCATCGTGGGAAGGCAGACGAGGCATACTTGGTTGGGGCGGGGCTGCCTCCAGTACAGGCATACCTGGACATACCGGATATCATTCGTGTGGCGAGGGTAAGATGGGTTGATACGACTTCTAGATGGAAGCCAAAATGTTACATTTTTATGTAACATTGTACTGGTCAATTTTGTATTGGCAAGCTATGTTCTCCATGCAAGAACAGTACTTGGTTTGCTGTGGTCCAGTGGCTACGTTGTGCGATTATGTGCCGTGGTACATGGGTTCAAACCCTGATGGGGAATATAGTGCTTGTGTTCTTGAGCAAGTCACTTTACCACAATTGTCTCTTTCCAACCAGGAGCATTAATGGGTACCTCCGAAGGTAGAGACCAGAACGCGCTGATCTTGAGCTGCTGTGAAAAAAACAAACTGGTCTCATGGCCTGATAATTTTGAAGCGTTTTGAGACCTTTGGTATAAAGTGCTATATAAGCACCGCGTTTACTATATTTTATTTTATTTATGACTGCTTTCGAAAGCCCCATACCAGTGGAAAATGCTTGTATAGCTCTAAGTACGCGTGCCAATTGTATTCTGAATGTGTGCTGACCTGAAGCTTTTTCGCATGGCCGTCGGGCACCGCCGGAAATACATTAGAATATGTCTCCAAGTGGTCTCTCCCAACTCTCCCTTTGTAACCATGGAGGGGGTACCTATGCATAAACCCATAGTACTAAGATTTCATGGATTCTCTAAGTGACCTAAACCGTAACCGTCCAAACCTCCAAAATCCATCACTCTGTTTTTTTTTAATGGTTTCAGGGCTGCATACAGCCCAACCAAACTTTATGTTACACAGGCCTGGATGTGCCCATCCCTCCTAGCTATTACTTTTGGAGAAAGAACTGAGCACAACAGCATGCTACCAAAATTATGCATGCAGGCACCAAATACCAAAAAATACTGTGAGTGCTGTGCCCACTTGTATGCTGAAGTACTTCATACTACAGTTTACTACCAGTAGTATTTTGTAGCTTTAGGTGAGGTTAGGGTAAATACAAGTGAAGCTGATTGTCATTGCATTAGTAAAATACCTAGGTGCTCTCTTACTATGTACATGAGTTTGATACGTGTTTGAAGTAAAAGTTGTTGCCTGTTTTCACAGGAGAATGATGTGGAAGCAATCCATCCAGGCTACGGCTTTCTGTCTGAGAGGGCAGACTTTGCCCAGGCAGTCCTAGACGCTGGTATCCGGTTCATTGGTCCCACACCAGAAGTCGTGCACAAGATGGGGGACAAGGTTGAGGCTCGTGCGATTGCTATTGCTGCAGGTATGGCATTGCCTTAGGGATTTGGAGGGTTCATTGGACTCGGTGTATAAAGACTGATCCATTTAGCTCCACTCAGATCTTGGTATTTTGGCCAATCACAGCCATGATTAGTGTCCGACATGCATGGACAGGTGTACGACGTGTGCAGCTGGAATATGCAATGTGGCATTGGAGGGGTGTACATGTTTGTTGCCTACATAGCGCAGTGGGCGGGGCATATTGGATCAATCTATGATGCCCTCAGCAGTACAAGTCCAAACATAAATGTAAGTTATGTAAACAAGAGACTTACACACCATGCATGCTTAGGTGTATTCTTCTAACATGATGATGCTGCAGGTGCGTGCACGTTTAACTGACAATTGGTTATGTGCACATTATGAACCATTCAGAAATGCAAAACCAACATGCTCTTATGAGTAAGACCAGCTGCCATCTAAAGCTACTTGATGGAAGCCATCCATTCAGGAACTTCTCTTAAGATTTGGGAGTAGCAAGCATTTCCTGGTAACGACTTAAGTTGTAACGACTTAAGTCAATGACTCGACTTCAGTCTGACTCAATCACAAGCTTTGGCAACTCGACTCAACTTGAGTCCCAACAGGTACTTGACTTGACTCGACTCGAGTCACTGCCAGCAAATGATTCGACTCAACTCGAGTCCCTCATCAGAAGACTTATGTTGAAGGCGAATAACACTCAAGTCACAAAACTGTGTGAAAAATTTGCGGTGATCTTACAGTACAAAGTTATTTGTAAGTGTACTTCGTGTTGCCGTCAAATTTTGGCTGCTTATCATGTACAAAATATATTACGTATCACAAGATTTCCCACATCGTGGTTTTATGGTCTAACTATTTCAAAGCATTTTACAATTCTTAGTTTCATCATCAGCTTCGGTCGATTTCTTTAGCCCTTGATGGAAATCCGGCTAAATGTATGTCCTGCTTTCAACTTTTTTTGGTTATTTTTCTATATAATCAGAAACAGTTTCATATATTGCAATTTGGTTTTGAAGTTCCAGCATAAAGATTATTCCAGACCCGAAGCCAACTTCTTGTTAACTATTACGTAGATCTTTAGTAGAAAAGTCCAGCAGAAGCTGTCTATTGGTACCATGCAGCATATTTTTAAAATGTCTTTGGATCTTTATAATAAACTGGTGCCTTTTGTGCCTTCTTCAATTCTGTAATTGATTAGATGGTGTTCAAATACCAGTGACTCGAATTGACTCGAGCTAAAATTCGACTAGTCTCGATTCGACACGACCCAACCACACACTGTGACTCGACTCAACCTTCTTGACCTAATGACTCGACTTGACTCGAGTCACTTCCTTAGAATGACTCGACTCGACTTGAGTCACAAAATTCAGTGACTCGTTACAATTCTAGTAATTGCAAATAATCCTTCATGGCTTAAATTTGATAAAAAGAAAAAAATATACTTCTTTTTTGGTGGCTAATATGTTTGTGGGAGTGTTATTAATATTAACAAATCATTCACATTCCCCTACATTTGTCTCTGTTTTATTCCCAGGTGTTCCTGTAGTCCCAGGCACTGATGGACCAGTGAAAACCAAGGAAGATGTCAAGACATTCGTAGAGGAGTTTGGCCTTCCCATCATGCTCAAGGCTGCGTATGGAGGAGGTGGTAGGGGCATGCGGGTAGTCAGAAATATGGAGGTGAGTGAACATGTTGGTCAGATACAAGCTCTAACCATTGTGTAAATGCCATACTCCAAACAAACACTGTAGATACAAGTGGACAAATTGCACATACTTAAATCAAGAGATGTTCAAGAGAGTGAGGCGTTCTGGCAAAATGAGACAGAACTGGGCAGAGGTCGAAATGAGGGTTTGCGGGTATTAGGAAAAAGAACAAAATTGACCTTGCAATACTGTTTGTTGCATTTCAATCGGATATTCCGTTGACAAGTTATGGCTGTTTAAAGTTTGCATTTGTCGACATGTCAAAAAAGTAAAACTACCGAGAAAAAGGCCTTTGAAGTTTCAAGTTTTGTAGTCGTGAAAATAAAACACACCAACTGCTTTTCCTAAAAACACTTTTGTTTCATGATTTTGATCCTATTTCTTTAAAAAAAATCTGTAGTAGACGTATCAAAGATTACAATTTCCATAAATCTGAAAATCGAAAAAAAATCGCCCTGAATTTTTTTTCCATTTTTCTCCACTACGGCCTGTGCCTAGTTTCATCTCATTTTGCCAGAACACCTGACATATATTTATATCTGTGACTTTTTAGGGGTGTTTAAATAAAACTGGTTATTTTTTTTTTAAGGATGTGGAAGAGAATTTTGAACGTGCCTCATCTGAAGCCCTTGCAGCCTTTGGCGATGGGTCCATGTTCATCGAGCGATTCATCGAGCGACCCAGACATATTGAGGTGCAGATTCTTGGTGAGTGCGTACTGCTCCCCTTGGAATATCAAACAATTGAATATAATCTCTAGCTCAGCAAAAGTAAGTTATTGTGGTGGATTGTACAGTAAGGTGGGCCTGGGTGGGTCTGAACACAAAGCATAATCATGGCTCATATGGGCCTCTGTGCACAAGTACCCCCTCAAAGGTTTCAAAGGGAGAGTTGGGGGAGACCACTCCGAGGTACATTTGAGCGCATTGCTGACGGCGCCTGAAGCTCTTGCGAAGACGCCAAGGGTTCGTGACGTTCACAATAAAAGAAGTCATGTGGGCAATTCCACGGTTACTCACGTTACATTTTTTATGTACTTTTGAGTTTCCTTGGGCTGTAATTACCTTACTGAAAAGGTTTAATAACTGTTATCCCCATGGTAGATAGAGTAGACCTAGACCTACCTAAGCACCAAAGATATGTTATGTATGATAAACAAGACGAAAATGTAACGTGAGTAACCGATTTTGTGCGTCTTGTTTATCATACATGACACATTTTTCTGGATATCATCTTTGGTGCTTAGGTAGGTCTAGGTCTACTCTATCTACCATAGGGATAACAGTTATTAAACCTTTTCAGTAAGGTAATTACAGCCCAAGGAAACTCAAAAGTACATCAAAAATGTAACGTGAGTAACCGTGGAATTGCCTGTGTGCCCTTCATGCCATACATGTATATGTACATGCGCGAACTTGTATGGGCACACTGATGTGCCTCCCGCTAGGGCTTTCGAAAGTGGACGGAACAACTACTGTTCGTGGACGGAGCCCATAAAATTGACAGAGCCCACCAATCTGCAGCTGCCTGGGTCTGCAAGAATGTACGGTTTGCCGTGGACATGCTTTAGTGATTTCAAATGTAATCACTGCATTCACCACACAGCTGAGCAGACAAATTAATCAAAATAGTGAAAAAGTTTGAAACTTCAAAATATCTAAACTGGTATTTGGAACCTGAAGCTGTCATGGTAGTGCTGTAGCAACATTGACAACTCACTAGAGATTGAGAACTGTTTCAGCAGTAAAGTTTTGTTAATATTTGTGACCATAACCGAAGTTAGAATGCATGGCTGTCAGAAAGAGTGTTTATTTGGAACTCGTACCTTAAAGTTTTAAGATATTCCTGGAACTAAGCTGTGGGAGGTTGCTTATCAGGGCCCAAGTTGAAGGCTCTGCTTATCCTTGGCGAAAAATCTTAGCTTACTGAAGCAGAAAATTCTATGCTTAAAGTGTATTTCACAGGTTTACGAGGAATTTTAGCTAATGCACGTGTACATCCCGTAAGTAAGGGTTATGTGCTTACAGGGTTAACACACAAATTTTCTGCTTTCGAATGTAGGTGCGGAATTCTGTGGTTAGCAGAGCCATGAAATTGGGCCCAAATTGCAAGGCAAACACTTGAGACACTTTCCTTACATTAGTTGCAGCATGAACCAGCAATCACATCATTTTTTAAATAAACATGTCCTTCCCCTCAGGCGACAAATACGGCAATGTTATTCATCTGTACGAGCGGGACTGCTCAGTCCAGCGCCGCCACCAGAAACTAATCGAGATTGCACCGGCCCCTCTGTTGGATCCTGAGATGCGAGCTCGCATAACTGCCGATGCTGTCAAGCTGGCCAATCACGTGGGATACGAGAACGCCGGTACGGTGGAGTTTCTGTTGGACCAGGACGGACGACATTACTTCATAGAGGTCAATGCCAGGCTGCAGGTGGAGCACACTGTAACGGAGGAGGTGACAGGGTTAGTGTCGGCAGAAGGGAAGAATGCCAATTAACCTTAACCTTAACCGCCCTGAATCCTTCAAAATCCTCTTTGCCAAAGTGGAAGAATTTGGAGGATTGAGGTTACATGGCAAAAGTGCGTTACTGATTTCGTAGGATGCACTTTGTCAAGGTCTTGGGCCGGACCTTGTGTTGTTTTTGCTCAGCCATGCATAAATATAGGCCTAGATTATGCTTGAAATCCTCCGTACTGCTCCAGAATGTCACTGGCCAAGCCTCAACATATTGACAGTCACTGGTGCAGGATTTTGCAGGATTCAGGTCATATTCAAGAAATAATGGAGGAATTTGCAGGATTGAAGCTATGCTATTTTTCCATGAGGCCAATTGGAGGATCTTGCAGGATTGAGGCTACATCCTAGCAAAAAGGCCTAGGGAGTTAGGGTTAATTAAACAAGTTGTAATTGGAGGGTTTACCTGAACCCTAACCCTCCTGGGTATGTTGGCTAGAAACCCTGCTGAACACAGCAACAATCAACACTTGTCAAAATGACAAGCCTGCTCAGTGTACCAAGATCCATCAGGTCAAAAGTATAAAGGCCAAAATGACTCAGAGTCTATGGTCACCGACTGTAGCAGGATACAAGTGTGGCATTGTTCAATGGGACTAGCTCTCATTTTTTTCAGAATTGGCCATTTATGCACTGGTGTTGATGGCTCAACGCAGCAAAGTGTAACAGACTTTTACACCTGATGCACTGTGTTGCGTCTGTCAGGGTTAAGATTTTACACGGTTTTGCAGGGTTTTATGGGATACCTAGGGGTTGAACCCTGAGTTAACGCTCTTTAATGTTGCATTTTTTCCTAACTTGATCGCTTAGGTGAGCTGCTAAGAGTGATTTAAATCTTTTGTACTCTACTTGTATGTGTTTCATAACCACTGATGAGACCTCCGTGTGTGGGATACAGCATTTTGTTTTTATTTCATTTCTAATCATTTAGGGCCTACATGAACATATATGTTCTTGTGTCAAATCCTTACCACACACAAGATGTACTCCAGATATACATCTGCCAACTATCCCACAACTGTTCCGATGTGCACATGGTCACATATTTACTCCTTCTTTCCCCCAGGATTGATTTGGTGCAATCCCAGATCAAGATTGCTGAGGGCAGCTCCCTGCCTGACTTGGGCCTAGCTCAAGATGATGTGAAGATCCAGTGTAGTGCTATGCAGTGTAGAATAACCACGGAAGACCCTGCCAAGAACTTCCAGCCCGACATGGGAAGAATTGAGGTAAGACTTGTGGAATTCTAATTTTCTGAAGAATCCTCATACAGTGAAATTTCAACTATTTTTTTTTTTTTCATGAATTCCACTACATTGTATAAAAACCTGTTTGTATTTTGTACAGAACCCAAGCCAATTTGTTGGTGAGCTCGCTCTAGGCAGAAAGTGTGCTGGTTGAACCTGTGGCCTACTTTTAAGTAGTGTTGTGCATCGGGTCGGGTTGACTAGGCCAAACTGACCCTAAACAGTATAGATATAAACCGAATCTGAACCGAAATTGATCTGATCTCCCCAAATCCAATCCGACCCGACCCGACAAAAATGAAGCACAAACCGACCCAACCCGACCCGAGCCGACCCGACAAAAATGAAGCACAAACCGACCCGAACCTACCTGAAACCAAACTTTTCCTATTTTTTACTCTCTAGGAGAGGGGGAAGGGGGGGGGGGGGTCCAGAAAAAAAGAGTATGCTCGTGAAAATGATGACAAAAATGGATGGCCCCTTAGTGACACTGCTCATGTCAATCTGTGTAGGTGTTCCGTAGCGGTGAGGGCATGGGCATCAGGATCGACAGTGCCTCGGCATTCGCTGGTGCCTGGGTCTCGCCCCACTATGACTCCCTCCTTGTCAAGATCATCGCAAGCTCTCGGGATCATCAGAGTGCCGTGGCTAAGATGCTGCGATCCCTGGCCGAGTTCCGTATCAGGGGTGTCAAGGTGGGTGGATTCAGTCAGTGGTTTAGCCCAAGCAAAGGCATATCCATTTCTAGAGGGTAGGTAGTCTTGGCCCAAGAAATCAATTGCCATGGTTGCATTGTGGTAGCGTGCCCTTGCACATTTGGTTTTTTTTTGCTGTCTCACACTAAGGTCTTGGGAAATTTGCAACAATGGGGGCATGGCCATTTTATGTAAATTTGACCGTTGGTGTAAATATTAATATCTTCGAACAAAACGGAAGCTTCCAATTTGCATGTAATAAGCGATGTATGTAGCACATATGTTTACAACCGTCGCGCGATTGTGAGCGTGGGACTGACTAGAAACCATTTCCCGATCTCTGATTGGTTACCAAGGAAAGCCTAGGGGAAAAAATAAAGAAACAGTTAAACGGCTACAGATGTCTTAAGACGTTTGTGCTGGCAGGCGCGCTAGTCCAATCATGCTGTTAGATGTGCACGATCCACTATCGATCACTTGCATCATGGGCCAATTAAGACTAGGGGTTGGGGGTGTTCCATGTGGCTGGCTGGCCATTGTAAATATGAAAGGGGAGGGGTGTTGATGCAGTGGGGTGGTCTGTCTTAATACATGTATTTCAAGAAACCCTGGAGGGAAACGGGATAAGTAGCATCGATTTAAAAACAGTCGTCTTCACCTCTTGTGGTATGGTGGTCATCATACATAAAAAACATCCAGATTAGATGAGGAAATAGAAGTGTGGTAGAGCAGTTTTAAACATCAGGTTTGAAACCAGTCGGGGAACTGGTTGCTGATAATGGCCTGAGCCAAAACTCATTCCTAAATACGTTTTAGATAAATTAAAAAACTGGGAAAAAGCTGACCAAATTTTGACAATGTTTTCTTCAACCACCTTACTCCATATATCAGGCATGCAACGCATGTGGTGCAGAGCGTATCGTCGCGCGACTGGTTTTACACGTCACTGACTGGTGTTTTAAAGATGGTTTAATACCACCCATGGACTTTCAACCAAATTCGCTAAGGCACTCGTGAATGTGAAATAAATAATGAGAAAATGTTTGAATCCTCAATTTCGTAATGACCAAAACCTTGGAACTGGCACTTGCGATGTTTGGTAACAAGTGGCTGTTGTTATCGTCATCGTCACTTGGCTTCTGTGAAGGCAGTCATAGTTTTTTGTTTAAAGTGTTGGAACTCTGCATTGAAATTCCAACATCATACATGTATTCACCTTCTCTAGTCTACCAGTTGTCGGATATAAATATTGAACATGGTGGGTGTCCAGGATTTCATTTTTTCCATAAGTGGGGAGAAAGAAAAAAAATATGCTTTTGTTGGTTAATAAAAATATTGGTCTTTTCTGTTCTTTTCCCCACAGACAAACATTCCTTTTTGCAGAATGTTCTGACCCATCCACAGTTCGTCAAAGGCCGGGTGGACACCTACTTCATTGACGACAATCCAGCGCTGACCACGCAATTCAAGCGCAGTCAGAACAGGGCCCAGAAGCTACTCCACTACTTTGCCAACTTACTGGTGAATGGACCGTCCACTCCACTGGCCACTGGGCTCAGACCAGCGGCAGGGGAGGCCCCCATACCCCAGCTGCCCTTTGGTAAGCCACAAATCTGAAAATAACCAATCTACCAAAGTCAAATTTTTGATGTTGTATTTTTGATGTTGTATTTAAAGTTTGAACTATTGATCAGTTATTCCCGACTGCAGCAGTTTTCACGAAAAAGGATCGCACAACAAGTTAGTTGCGTTACTGTGCAATATACATGCCCTGGTCTACACTGCGTTGTGAGGAATTTTTTTTATTGTTTATTGGAAAATTAGGACCGAGTTATGGGCACTATGCGGATTGGAACAGGGACAATCACTGCCCTTACCACTGCTGTTTGCATACGATTGCAAATCAGTCATGAAACAGCTGTTGAGTTCTGCCTGTCATGACAATTCTTTGTTTTACTTTCTTCAGAATCAGGCGGCAACTTTAACAATTCTGTCATCGGTTGTAAGCCATTTGCAAGTAGTATTTCGAATAATGTCTGGCATTTGGAAATATATTAATCACACTCAGCACTGTCAAATTTGAATTTCAAAATGTATACATTCTTACTGGGAACTTCCGTGGTTATGGGAACACAACCTTCCTCAATTCAATTCATTCTTGAACCTCCTTGATTTATATTAAGTATACTTGAAATATCCTCATATTTTTATAAATTTTAGAAAGGAGCAAGCAAATAGTAGCTAAGAATATTCCATCAGAATTGTGTGAGTAAACTATCCATATGTCAACAGTAACCCGAGTGACGGCATTGCAAGACCTTCCCCTTTTGCTTTGTTAATTAATGCTGAAGTTGCTTTTCATTTATTTCACCCTAATTTGTTGATAATCAGAAGATGCTGGGTAACGCTATTTCTGTTCCGAGGAAAGTTTGGACTTGCATCATGCTCTTCAGTATCAGAACAGTTTCATCGTTAAAATAAGGGAATGTTCAACTCTTTTTAATATCATGGCTTTTTCCCACCAAAAAAACAAAACAGCAAGATGAACTGATATACAGGGTGGATAAAAAAAACCCGAAACCGAGATATTATTGCTAATTGAAACAGAAGTAGGGCACATGTGAATCAAAGGGAGATATCCTTTGTTAGGGTTGAATCTCCTCTTTAAAATGACACCCTGATCATGTCCTTACATTCACGGTTGACTGAGCAGTGACCAATTTTATGAAATGGTCTATTTAGAGACTTTTCATGGTGAAATCTCTTTTTCCCCCACCTGCCTTGATTGGCAACCATAGCCTTTCGCTCTGTGACAATTGACACAACAAAAACCACAATTGAAAAGTGGCGCAATTCTCTAAATAGACCCTTTCATAAAATTGGTCACTGCTCAGTCAACCGTGAATGTAATGACATGATCAGGGTGTCATTTTAAAGAGGAGATTCAACCCTAAGGCCAAAAAAAAAAAAGTCTCCGGTTTCTGGTATGGAGCTTGCCCAAAAAGTGGTGCGGCGACGCGGCTTTTTTTTTTTTTTTACCTGATTTTATTGCTTCAAATGTCGGCTGATGACTGCAAATGGTGCCCGACTAAAGTTAGTGCAAATATATGGGAGTCCAGAGAGGCCACATAAAGCTTATTCTCGACCATAACCCAATCTAAAAACACGTTAAAAGTGTGCAGCAGCAGGATTCCAGTCAAACCAGTGAGTTTGGCGGTTTTGAGACATCATCTTTCATTGAAAAAAAAACTTTTTCATTTTGCCGACGCGCATGGCTACGGCGACGCGCGCGCTTACCAGAAACCGGAGACTTTTTTTTTTTGGCCTAATAGAAGATATCTCCCTTTGATTCACATGTGCCCTACTTCTGTTCCAGTTAGCAATAATATCTCGGTTTCGTGTTTTTTTTTATCCACCCTGTATTAATGAGTGCATGCGAAAAGCTGTTTCACACGCAAGGAACGGAGGCATGCAGAACGGTAGGAGCCAACGCATACACATGCAAACGGTCATGGTATTTTTGGTGTTGAGCCTAAAATCTACAACATAAAGTCAAGACAGTGGCAATAAAAGATTGCCAAAAAGTGGAATGCAAGGACGTGTTAAGGCAGATAATGAATGTCAGCTGGGTCTTCTTTACACATTACTTTCCTTGGGGCCTGTAAGCTTGGTCGGCTAATTTGCATTGCTTAACAAAGGGTCTTTGTTATGCTAATATCACTACCATCTGCTGAGACAACAGCAGATCAGCAAGTAGACCTGAAGCCAGTCTTGCCTCTTGTCCACCTGCTCTATCTTCCTGTAGTATGCCTTGAACCTCAACCACTGATCTCCATATGAAAGTCTGGATAGCCCATTTGCTGTTAAAAGTGAAGTCACCGTCTGCCATGTTTACTCCTCTAAGAACAATAGATTTGTAAAGAAAGATACTTAGTCAACAAATTATTACTTGTTGTTTTCCAAAAAACTGGAAAATGGCAACAAAATTTATTTCATGTACAAAACTCTGTTTAGAAAAGAGAAGTTTCAGATACTTTTAGACAGCCCAATTTTAATCATTTTGAACAATGGGAGTGGTTGCGACTGGTTCCCTCCCCACATTGGAATGGAAGGAACGGAAACCAGTGCGTTGCTTTACTTATTTTACAGCTTGGAATGGCCAATGGAGATCTCAAATAAAAGCTATGGGGTTTGCTGAATGTTCAACATGCAGTATTCAGTGTGGAAATTTACATAACAAAAAATGCATAGCCACGTGACTGCCTCGTTAACATGAGTCAGAGAATAAGCCATTTGCGAGTTAACTTTGAATAATATCTGGAATGCTGACTGAATCCAGTGCTTTGCACGTTTTAACATTGCATTCTCCCAACCAAAGAGACTGTTACTATATCACTTGATTCGGGGCAAGCCTTATGCAAGCAACCCCCAACTCCGGAATGGTCTGGTGTCTTTGTGCCATTCTCACCAATTTTGAGCAATGTATTGGTGCTGAGCGTCTCTTACGTAACTATGCAAGAGCTTGCCGAAAATCATGTGATGCAGCAACAGTGTCTTTGGTCTGGAGAGTTCAAAGTTAAAATGTACCAAGCATTTTGAGCAAGTCTAGATGTTTTTTTTTTCAAATTTAAATCCCAAAGGGTATAGGTCACTCAAAATGGCTTATATGGTTGGTTACTATAATCTGTTCTCCATATGAATCAGCATGCAAGCTATAAAATGAAGTCAAACCAAAGAGTGACTTTGGGTAAAACTTCACTTGTTTTGCCTGCAAACAGGAAACAAAACAAATGCTGCTCTATGGTTTCACTTCAGTTTCAGCACTGATTATGTGGAACAGATACTTACTTTGTAACCATCAGGGAATGACTGTTGTTGAAGTATAGTTACTGGTCCCTTTTGCCGTGATTGTGCCCATAGTTTTCCATTGGATAGATTTGAGCAGTTTGGTTTTTGACACATCTGACGGGCTTCAGATTCTTTTCTTATCTTTTGATGTCACACAATATGACACAGAGAAATGTGTTGAGTTGAAATGTGTTTAACTTTTTTACCAACCCTCATTACCACACATTTGCTGATTGATCAGAATGTAGATTTACTGCTTTGATATTTTGGAAAATTGCTCAGGTTTGCAAGCATAGCAGTTTATCACTGTGCTTCATGGTGTATTACACATGCAGTATAAATGAACCCATAGACACCAATATATTGTAATTTTTTCCCCCAACTTAATTCTGTTACCAGTGTACACAGGCCCGTAAAAGTGGAATCGTAATATTTCTTTTCCACTTCGCATCAGCGTGCCAATCGTATTTAGCTCTGTCATTTACTTGTCTCAACTTGTTTTGCTCATCAGGCGTGCCTCCACCCCCTGGCTTCAGAGACGTTCTCATCAAGGAAGGACCCGAGGCTTTCGCCCGAGCGATTCGCCAGCACAAAGGCCTGCTGCTGATGGATACAACCTTCAGAGACGCACACCAGTCGCTCCTAGCCACCCGCGTGCGAACGTATGACCTCAAGAACATCTCACCGTTTGTGGCTCAAAACTTCAGCCAACTCTGCAGCATTGAGAATTGGGGAGGTAGGTGATAGTCGCAAGTGGTACCAGGAATCTTGTCAGATATTTCTTGGGAGCCTGCATGTTCAGGATGTAAAGGTGCTTCCCCAGGGGAGCGTGCATTGCAACATTACCCCCCCCCCCCCCCCCCCCCCCCCCCCCCCCCCCCCCCCCCCCCCCCCCCCCCCCGCCAGGGTATTTTGGCAAGAAACCTTGCTGAACAAAGCAACATGCAGCTCTTGTCAAAAAGACAAGCCTGCACAGTGTAGCAAGACCATCAGGTTGGAAATCTCAAGGCCAAACTGCCCGAGAGTCTGTGGTCACCAACTGCAGCAGGATACAACTGTGGCATTGTTCAATGGGACTAGCTCTCATTGTTTCAGAATTGGCCGTTTATCCATGGTGTTGATGGCTCTAGTCAAGCAAGGTCCCACATACTTTTACACCTGATGCACTGCATTGCGTCTAGCAGGGTTACATGTAGGGTTAAAGTACAACTCCAATAATGAATAAAAATAAATTGTAAAAGAATGCTTTCTTTATTTCTGGAAACCTGTCAATAATTACTCATTTTAAGAAACATACCATTTTACTTGTTTTCAGTACCAATCACTGTTGTAACTGCATTAAACTTATAGACTCGGGACCTGGCCTAATAGGAATCGGTGAATGCAAATGCGGTGCAAAGGGTGACAGTTCTAACAAAGGTTCTTGAAAAAATATGAAGACTTTATTTCCAAAAACGCGATATCCGCCATTTTGTTCCCTTTTTAGAATCCTGCTCTCTCCTGGCTGCCCATCATCCATTTCGACAGTTGCTTTATACTTAAATACAACTTAAGAATACAATAAAGCGAAAAATGAAGTTTAAAAACAAGCTGTTATACTGTTTATTTTCTTTAACCCTAACAGAACTCAACCCATCAAACCCCAACAGCATGTATTGTTGGCATCTGTCAAGATGGGTACAGTACCCCTAAACTGACATTGGGTTGGCAATCATGCTAGGGAGTTGGGGATAATATTGTTTCATAACCGTGCAACAGTTTCACCTTATTTCAAATGGATATGTCATATTTTAAAATAAACTCATCATACTAAGATCGTGTCCAGGATTGAATATTTTGTGGCTAGCAAAATGACACTTGCACGATGGACAAGTGGTGAATAAAAAGAGTTGATGTTGAGGTCTGAACATGACGTAATTATTGCGACCAGTATCATATGTGATGTGATCAAGCTACATGAGTTGTTTGTCGACCCTGGTCAAAAATTGTTTTATTACAGATTTGAAAAGAGCACAATCTCAGCATTACTGCTGTGAAAACTGCATGCTGATACCATCTTCAGTTCAAAAATTATGGAAGTCGGAACACCAAGAGATGTGATGAAGTGGCCCTATTTTGGCCTGTATCTCCAAATAAAAATTTCCGACAAACGACTCATTTAGCTTGATTGCATCACATATTGTGGAAAACGTAACCCTAAGGCTGGCTGATTATATTCCGGATCCATTTTTACCCGTCCAATCAGGTGCTACGTTTGACGTGGCTATGCGGTTTCTCCACGAGTGCCCGTGGGATAGGTTGGAAACGCTGCGAGAGCTCATCCCTAATATCCCGTTCCAGATGCTACTGCGTGGAGCCAATGCTGTAGGCTATACCAGCTATCCTGACAATGTTGTATTCAAGTAAGTCATAATGAAACAAATTTATGCCTGTGATGAGTACAGACTTATCCTTCTTAACCCTAACTCCCTAGGCCTTTTTGCTAGGATTTAGCACAATCCTGCAAAATCCTCCAATTGGCCTCATGGAAAAATAAATCCATGAATATGGTCCATGGAGGGGTGACCACTGCCTGAATCCTGCAAAATCCTCTGGCTATGACTGTCAATAGGCTGAGGCAGAGGCAGTGACATCCCGGAGCAGTGCGGAGGATGTCAAGTATAATCAAGGACTAAATTTATGCACGGCTGAGCATAAACAACACAAGGTCGGGCCCAAGACCTTGACACAGTGCGTACTCCGAAATCAGCAACACACTTCTGCCATGTAACCTCAATCCTGCAAATTCCTCCAATTTGCAAAAAGGATTTTTGAGGATTTGGCATGGTTAGGGTTATGGGGACAAATTATTCTGAATCAGGAAAATTGATTTGATTTTTTGCCTATTAAATTGTCATCGACACCACGAACTGACACTCACGTGCAGGTGGGTGTCAATTCGCGAAAACCACGTAATCAATTTTGGTTTCACGAGCTGACATCTGGTAGTGCACGCGCACATCAGACACTGATGTAAAATAGGAAGATTTTGTTTTTCACGAAGTGACACCCAAGCATGATGCGGCAATACAGTACGGAGAAAAACGGTTTGAAAGGTTTGAGAGGAATTTAGTCCATCCGTATACTTTTGTGCTTATACAAAAAATAAATTAAAAACTGTTTTAATTGGTAAAATTAAGGTCAGTGTTGGTTTGTGAAATCGAAAATGTATGGGGTGCACTCTAAAAGTTTCAAGTGACACATTTTTGGAAATTTCCGTTTGTTGTTGGTTTGTAATTGGGTGAATCCGTGAATGGGGGCATGCCAGTGTTGACTTGACGCACACGCTCGCATGGCTGCTATTACTGAAATCAAAAATATGCATCTTCAAGCCCGGTTCATACTTCATGTGAAAGCGAATGCGAAGCAAATTTGACGTCATAAAACATTCGCTGCCAAATTCGCCCGAGTTGAAATTTGTTCAACTTTTACGAATTCGCAGCGCGAATACTTGCCACGACGTCACAAATTCGGGTTTGCTGTTGCTTTCCCGCAGAGTATGAACCGGGCTTAAGTCCTGCAAGTCCTCCAATTGCCACCATGTTGAACTTGGATTTTGCCGCAATCCTCAAAAACCATCCGTTACTTCTTGAATTTCTTCAGTGGACATGGAGGAGGGGTGACCATTGCCTCTTTCCTTCGAAATCATCCAGCAATCACTGTCAATACATGGAGGCATTGCCAATGATATCCAGAAGCAGTGCGGATAGTAGCCAGTGTAATGTAGGCCTCAATGCATGGCTGAACATAAACAATGCAGGGTACAGCTTACGACCTTGACACAGTGCATCCTTCAGAATAAACTGTTTCAGCCATTCGGTCTCAATTCTCAAAAATCCTCCAAAACCGCCTGGTTGATTTCGGAGGATTGAAGAGGGTTAGTGCTAAGCCTCGTTTTGCCGCATCTGAACATGAATGTTGTCCTTTCAGATTCTGTGAGCTTGCCCATAAACACGGCATGGACATCTTCCGCGTCTTTGACTCCCTCAACTACCTACCCAACATGATCCTTGGGATCGACGCGGCCGGGGCGTCTGGTGGGGTGGTGGAGGCAGCCATTAGCTACAGCGGTGATGTCTCTGATCCTAGCAAGACCAAGTACACCATGGATTACTACATGAAACTGGCTGATGAATTGGTCAAGGCTGGTACGCACATCTTGTGTATAAAGGTAAAACAAAAAATTCATTCACTCCATTAAAGGGAATGTACAACATTTTGCTCTTGCTGAAATTTTCATTGGTAAATGGATTTGAGGAATTAGAATATCGTAGCAAATATTGTTAACCTGACTTGTTTCACGTTTTGGGCTTGAAGATGCTGGAAAAACAAAAAAAACCCATCATGTTCTTGTAGTCTGGTTTCCTGACCCCACTTAAGATGAAACAGAGCACTTTCTTGACTTTGGGGAATTCAAAGGTCAGAAAATCAGTCCGGCAGGCTTCTACCCCTTCACAGGTGTGTAATCAATTGCAAAGAAAATGTGGAAAAACTAATTATGAAAAATTAAGGGCAGTTTTTGAGAAAAAAAACCAGTTTACTCCAACGCTGGTCTCAGATGCTTTCATTGAATCAAACCAAAAAGTATAACCAAAATAACAAACATATTGATTGATCAACCAAATCATTGTGGGCCTAGAAAGTGTCGTTAAGATCAGACAGGCTACTTTTGAGGGCTGATACTTTTCAACATCTTGCGGAATGTGAGTTTCTGAACTTTGCCCCAGTGGGCTGTAAAATTGTGGAGTACTTGTAATGCCCGTCAGCGAAGCTGATAAACATGAAAGGATCTGGTTGTTTATTATTAGGACATGGCTGGACTGTTGAAGCCAAGAGCAGCTTCCATGCTCGTCGGTGCCCTGCGTGATAAATACCCAGACATGCCCATCCATATGCACACGCATGATACCTCGGGCGCCGGTGTGGCGGCCATGTTGGCAGCTTCTGATGCTGGGGCAGATGTTGTGGATGTTGCCGTGGATACCATGTCAGGGATGACCTCTCAACCTAGCATGGGAGCCATAGTAGCAGCAGTAGAAGGCACAGAGAAGGATACAGGTATCTCTCTTACTACCTATAGAGTCTAAAAGTATAGCTGTTATGTGGCCTGCCCATGGCTATTTTTCACAGGGTAACCCTTTCCAGGGTGTGAAATCTCAGCTTTAAAGCTGATTTCAGCTGGTTTTGGTTTGGATTTCAGCTTAAAAGGAGTATCCATCATTTAAGGCTGAATGATTTCTAACTGTAACATCCCCAAAACAATTTGGAATTTTATCTCGAGTAGTCTTAGAATTGTGGAGAAAACATTCAAACAAAGGGAAAAATGAATTTAATTAATGACCTTTCACCCCCAGGTCTCGTAATGATATGCACTTCTGTTTTTTTTTGCATTTACTCACGTGAGAATGAAAATGTAGAACGTTGTTAAGTTTTACCCAACTACAGCAGATGGGTTCTAAATTAAGTGAAATAAGCCTGAGCAGATCATTGGTGCACTCCAATAAAAACAAACTTATTGGAGCCAATCGTAAATGGCCAAAATGTGGGTTTTTTTTAAAAATACCTAAAATACCCTCAACTTTATTCACACAAAGTGAAACTGGAACAGGCATCTTTAGTTTGTCAGAAAATTCTCCTCAGGGCCATTTCTGATCTTTGAAAATTGATCAACTACTTCAGCCAAAACTCAGACAGAGATTGACATGAATTTGGACTAATGGTGTCACATATCTTTTCTAATTCTGTTTTTGCAAGAAATTAGTAAATAAATATGTCCCAACCCCTAGAGAGATAGGATGTCCAAAAGCTACTTGTGTTGCAACATTTCGCACATTTTTCATTCAGCGCAAAAGGTCTCGATGTTTGACTCTCCTTTTGGTCTGGTTTCCCCCACTTTTGCAAGCTAACACCCCACTCTCAAAAAGGTAGGGAAATATTGGACCCTCCAAAAAATAAAAAAATATATGACTCTTCGCTCTGCCAATATAAGCAACAAGTTTAATAATTGTGTCTGTATTTTGGCTGAAAAACAATGCCTCCAAACACTGTTGGCAAAAGATGGCATCTGGTGGATTTGGGTTTTTAGTGTTTCATAAATAATCCCTGAATTTTTCAAAGAACGTACTGGAAATTGCTTGTTGGAGAAGACTTTTGACCACACCCTGTGAAATAGCCAGTTCCCCGTCTTCTAATCCTTCTGTCATTTTCCTGAACAGTCTTGTAAAAATCTGCTATCAGAATAAAAACATCTGAAAATGTCTTAATCCTTGTTTGATAATTCTCCCGTTTCCAGGCATTGCTCTGGACAAGGTCTTCAATTACAGTGCGTACTGGGAGATTGCCCGCCAGTTCTATGGACCCTTTGAATGTGCCGTGACCATGAAGAGCGGCAACGCAGACATCTACAAGAATGAGATTCCTGGCGGCCAGTACACCAACTTACAGTTCCAGGCCTTCAGTCTCGGGCTGGGTCATCAGTTTGAGGAGGTCAAGAAGGCCTACGTAGAGGCCAACAGATTGCTAGGGGACCTGATTAAGGTTGGTGCATAAGCGTTTCTTCAAATTTTCAGAACTTCTGCTGCCAGTTTCGCAAAACCTTTAATACACAACTCCACTTATACCACATTTTATTGTAAAAGTTGCCAAACATTTCAGTTATGACAGATTACACAGAGCATAAGTCAACTCTTTCACAACACGTTATGGTGTAAGTTACAGTTGTGGCGTAGGGGCTCAAGATAGACTAATTAACTGACTAATCGTGATATTTGTAAGGCCTGTCATTAATCAACTTAGCAAGGTTGACTTAAGCAATTCGCAGCTTTGTTTTTGAGGTAAAAAGGAAGTAAATGAAACACTATTTTACCCATGGCAGATGTTTGAGTGTTGCTTCCAGATTCCGTAGAAAGTTGTACATAACTGTTTTTTAATTGGCGGTCAGAGGTGATCCAACAACTCTTTTATAACTGATTAAAAATATACGTAAACAGCCGTCATTAAAGCTGTGATTTGCCTCGTCCAAGATGTTTAAATGATTTAAAGCGTTGAGCTGCAATGCCAAGTTTAGTGAAATGGACTGTACATGTAAGTTTAATGTGTAGCTTCGCAGCAGATTCATTGTGAATCAAATTAGGTTTTGCCCTTCACCAACGTTTAAACACTGTATACTCAGTGTGTTACCTCCCGTGTGAAAGTTGGACAAAATCACTCGGGTGGGACTCGAACCCACGACCTCCTGCTTTCTAGTGCAGATGTCTTACCACTCGACCACCGAGCTAACGGGATCGGTTGGCCGGTTCAAATCTGATGTACATAGCAGCGGGTACCGCATAAACTATTATAAGATGGAATTTGATTTATTTCACCCCGACGCAAAATTCCATCTTATAACAGATTCATTGTGTAAATTTGACAGACTTGGCGTAATGTATTTTTTGGGGGTTAAATCGATTGCTGATATCATGAGAAACAAATGTTCCGTAATTGTCCTTTATCTCTGCTTCACCTGATGTAGGTTACTCCCTCGTCTAAAGTAGTGGGTGACCTGGCTCAGTTTATGGTCCAGAATAAACTGGATGGAAACAGTCTGGTTGAGAAGGCTGAGGAACTGTCCTTCCCAACCTCAGTGGTGGAGTTCATGCAGGGATACCTCGGCCAGCCGTACGGCGGATTCCCCGAACCACTCCGAACCAAGGTAAATTTGTGAATCGTCAAATTCAAATACGGCATATCTGTGCTGACAAATTATGCAAAGTTGGCTCCACAGCTTACCCATTGAATAACTATTCTCCACTCATCGAAAAGTTGACGTCTCAAAGACTTAACAAGATAATGTTTATGGTCCTCTGTAAATGCATTTTGAAAAGTGCCAGAAAATCAACTTCAGCTCAATTAATCCAGCAAGATGCAATTAAGCAAAAGATTTTTAAAAAAATAGGGAAGGGGAAAATCACCTTGCTTGCATCACCATGTAGCCTTTGAGCTTCGAGTACTGCTTGTTTTTGGAGTAGTTGGCCAAAAGCATGGTACGGAATTAAAAAAAATAAAATATTTCTGAGCTGATTTGCTTTTACTGTGGCCTTGCTTCCACTTGGGTCTTGCTCAAGTGTGGATATAATACTTCATTGATCTTAAATAAAGCAGTTTCCTACATTTCAGCTTTGTAGCTGGGTTTTGCTTTGGCCAAACCCACTAGTTTGGCAAGTCTGCTACAAGTTAAAAATGGTTAATATTTTTTTTTAACAAGACCTCTTTACAACATGGACTCTGCACTGTTAAAATTACAGTAAAAATTGAGGTAGCATAGTATAACAGATATATCAGTTAGTCTCCTAAACGTAGATTGAATATCTTTATATCTTGAAAGAGTGCCATCTGTGAAACAGTACCCACATTGAGATGTGCCTTTGATCACTTTCACTCACATTTTTCGTTCACTGTGCTGCCTTGCAATATTTTTAGTCTGCAGAGAACACTTTTGGCACAGGGCATTCTAATAATACTCCATCTAATAATATTCCATTTCTTTTTGTAAATGCTGTATTTGGCAGATAATTAAGGACAAGCCAAGAATTGAGGGTCGGCCTGGGGAGACATAGGCACAGGGCATTCTAGTAATATTCCATCTGATAATATTCCATTTCATTTTGTAAATGCTGTATTTGGCAGATAATTAAGGACAAGCCAAGAATTGAGGGTCGGCCTGGGGAGACATAGGCACAGGGCATTCTAGTAATATTCCATCTAATAATATTCCATTTCTTTTTGTAAATGCTGTATTTGGCAGATAATTAAGGACAAGCCAAGAATTGAGGGTCGGCCTGGGGAGACATAGGCACAGGGCATTCTAGTAATATTCCATCTAATAATATTCCATTTCTTTTTGTAAATGCTGTATTTGGCAGATAATTAAGGACAAGCCCAGAATTGAGGGTCGGCCTGGAGAGTCGCTCCCAGCTCTGGACCTTAACAAACTCCAGGCAGATCTGATGGAGAAACACGGGCCCCGCATCAGGGAGGTGGATGTGGTCAGCTCGGCCCTCTACCCTAAGGTCTTTGATGACTTTCAGGAGTTCCGCAAGGTGTACGGTCCCGTGGAGACATTGGCAACCAGGCTGTTTCTGGTCGGCCCCAACATAGCTGAAGAGTTTGATGTGAGTGCCATGGGTCGTGATCAAGTCCTAAACTATGGCATTCCAAAATTCATTTTGTTTCCAGGGAAATCACTCTCAAAATTGGTCAAATTTAAGTGTGGAGTTATTTAAAAATTAATTGTATAGCAAACACTTAATCAATTAACCCTAACCTTCTAGGCCCCTTTGGCTAGGAACCATCCTCAATCCTGCAAAATCCTCCAATTGCCACCATGTAAAATTAGATTCAGCCTCAATCCTCCAAAATCAGGTGTTATTTGCTTAAATTTGTTCAGTGGAGGGGTGACCATTGCCTTGACCAAAATCCTCCAACAATCACTGTTGATGGGTTGAGGCAGTACCGATGACATTCAGAAGCAGTGTGAAGGACATCGAGCATAATGCAGGGCTCAATTATGCATGGCTGAACAAAACAGTTCAGGGCGCAGCCTACGAACTGGATACAATGCATCCTCCAAAATCAACCGACACTTTTTTGCCATTCGGCCTCAATCCTCCAAAACCGCAAGGAGGATTTTGGGGGATTGAGGAGGGTTAGGGTTAAATTGCGCTAAACACCTTTAAAAAGGAAAATACAGTACAAATTGAAAGGAGCTTATTGTTGGTCAAATGCTAAAGAATCTCTACAGCAGTCCTAGTAATTTTCAGTTTGCATAAAAATTGATGTGAACAACCCTCAAACTTTCTCAGTGTTCTACAATTTGTCCATCTCTTTCTGCCTAGTTTGATTTGCAAGGCTTTGTTTTCAAGTAAGGTACAGAGCTGATTTTATGTGCGCCATAATTTTAGCTCCAAATTTGGGATTGTTTTTGTTCTTCCAAAGGTACAAATTGAGAAGGGAAAGAGACTGCATGTGAAGATGCTGGCCATGGGAGAGCTGCACGGGGAGACGGGAGAGAGAGAAGTGTTCTTTGAAATGAATGGTCAACTCAGATCAGTGCTGATGAAGGACAGGCTAGCAATGAAGGTAAGCCCTAGCATTGATGTGACTTGCATTGTTACAGTTGCAAAGAATAAGGTTTGTGAACAGAGAGGTCAAAGGCATAGGATCATTTGCATTTATCCCATCAGTAACCTACCATATTATTGTCAAAAAGCAATTACTTAATTTAAAGATCGTACCGGTACTAAACACCACATGAAATTATTCTGTCTGGCTTGCTGTCGCTTAGAAGAAATTGCAAAATGTAGGTGATTTCCAATGATCAGTTTATTGACAACATAATGATTTGTGATCAGAAGATTGGGCAGGGTTCACTGATTTCTCGAAAAAGTGTAATATCTCCTGAGCTTTCATGAAACTTCAAATAAAGTTCATTTGTGGGTCTATTTGAGCTTCTAAGGAATGAACAATGCATGTGTGACTTACTTCCACCAGTGACTCAGCTCCACGAGCAGGGTCTGTAATGGCTGACTCGGGTGAGCCCGAGAATGACGTCAGCGCTAATCGAACGGCACGGGGCTATTAAATCCTTTTGTGTGCAAGCGCTGGTTCATGTGCACCACGGGAAGAAGAATACTCATGTCTTGTATCCAATTTGAAAGTTTAAACAGATGATATATGTTCCCATATTTGTAACAAATTTGGTAGTGTCTTTGCATGAGATGAATACATCATAGCATCACCACAGCAGTGGCATAACTAAGACGGGGAGGGCAGAGCATTCCTTCCCCCTCTTGAGGCCTGTGCTGCCCTCTTTTTGCCCCACCCCTCATTGTGTGCCTCCAAGAAATTGAGGACCCCTGCAAATAGGTCATTCTTTGATTCCACCTCTCGTGTCAGAATCATCAAACCCAATACAAAGACTCTTAAAATTGTTCCGCATTGTGATTGGATTCATGATGTACCTGAAGCATAACATGGACCAATGTTGAGCTGGAGCCCAGGCCTACAATCTCCTGAAGTCAGTACTGGAGACAAAGTCAAGATTTGGAAAATTCCCCGTTCACGTACTACTCATGATTTGGTTCTTTGCTCTGCCCAGGAGATGAACGTCCACCCCAAGGCTCTGCCTAATGTGAAGGGGTCAGTGGGCTCCCCAATGCCAGGCGAGGTTATCGACGTCCGGGTTCAGCTGGGCGATAAAGTGGAGAAGGGCGACCCCGTCGTCATCCTGAGCGCCATGAAGATGGAGATGGTGGTCAGCGCACCCATATCGGGAACGGTCAAAGCACTGCATGCGACGAAAGGCTTGTCAGTAGAAGGGGAAGACTTACTGGTGGAGATCGAGTAGACATGCAAGGTAAAGCCAGACTATTTTTTTTGGTCCTCATTTGAGATTCTAATGTCAAATGAATTAGTGAGTGTGGTTTTGTTGTGTGACAATCCATCATAGCTAGAGCATCATCCTGTGTAAGATGAAATGTCTTTTTGAATAACTCTGATCGCAGTGCAGGAGTAGTATGTGCTCTAAACGCAGTGCACGAGAACGATAATCTGCAGTGCATGTTGCAGGTTAGCCTTGTATGCACCGAGCTCAGTCATCAACTAAAGGAGCTCATTTGCTCACAGTGTGATGCCGATAGCTCTGATAAGAAGTTGTAATTAACGTATTGAATATAACTCAAAACAATTAGGTTGTGTTCTGTTTAACCCCATTAAAGCCACCCAGCCCCCAAAAAAGGAACATCTCAAAAAGTCAATCTTTGTACATATCGTAATAAAGTGCGAAGTAATTATTTAACTGTTTTCTACAATGATCGTCCCTTGCGACTCAAGGATAGAATTGAAAGTGTCCTTTGTGCCGAAAATAGGGGGGAAAAAACATCTAAAAAATAAAAACAATCAAACATTTTTAACTGCCAACTTGCTGTGATTCAACAGCAGGCAAAACCTGAACTTATATTTTATTTAGTGTACATGTACATAGAATGTTAATTCTTTGTGGGATGAACATTTTGCGTGGCTATGAATGCCAAGAGTAAAGTACTGTACATGCGCATTGCAGCTTGAATTTTCAGAATGGAAATGATTGTGCTTTCTGTAAGCAGGAAGCCACATCTAACGGTATATTTTAACACTATCTTTAGTATGCATGTGAAATCTTTGCATTACTGGTTATGCCAGGAGGTACATGTACCAGCCCTTTCAGTATGTTCCAAAGTTTGCCAATGGTTCCCCAGCTATACAGCCGGGTTATCATTGGCCCTCTGCCGGGAAACGTAATGCATGCATTTAGCTGGGCGCGTAAATGAATAACCGTCCGAATTCACATTAGTCAAGTCGTTAGACCTGTTGAATACATGCCGGATGTGTAAACACGATACCGAGCGCTAGTGAGCACCGTGCTTCACGTGCACTGTGATGTTACCCACATGCGCCAGTGGGCAGGGATTAACCCTCCTGCTGTCTGAACAGTCACAGACAGTCAAAACATCAATCCTCTTCCCTGCCATGCCTTTTACACAGGCTAGTCACCAACAGTCAGATCATATTTCCAGCAAGCACTGTACCAAGTCGAATTCAGTCTAGCAGGCAAGTGGCAGGCACAGCTGGCTTATCAATCACCTACAGTCAAATCAGAGCTGTATTTAGTCACAGCCAGTCAATCCTGCTTTGTGTAGGCTGGAGCTCTTAACTGTTACAAACAGTCACTTGACTGATTTTGACTGAAAGGACAACTTTGTACAGAATGTATGTTTGCATGTGAAGGTTAACGGTTAATGGGTCTGTCCATTGAGGAAACAACATGTTAGTCATGTATGTACCTATGTGCTGTACATGTACTTCCCGAGCCGATTGCAAAACTTCAGAATGTCTCCAGCCTTGAAATAACCGGTACACAACTCAGACCTTTAGGGCATGACCATGCTTAGAATGAACAGCACTGCAATGCTCATGGTAATACTGTTACACAGACTGATTTGAATTTTACCCAGCCCCTCCCCAAATCCTGCATGAAAATGTCAGGCCAGTGAAAATTGATCATGTGTGCATGTATGTACAATATATGTAGTGCTTTTCAGATATTGGATATTGTCAACCAATGTGTTCAAATCATTAACACTTTTTGATACTGTACTAATGTATGTATATTAACAATATTATTGAGTGCTAAAGATGTGAAATGTATGTACTGTTTTTCAATCGGACAAAGGTAACTGAGATAGGTTTTGGACTCAGTGAGCTTGAATACCATTCTGGAATTTAAATATAACATTTCAAGACTTTTTTGAGCCATGGACTTTTTTTTGGAAGCAGCAATATGTCATGGGTATGTGCTCCTGAAGTGTATTTGTTTTAAAATTCACTTAGTTTGTTTCTTGAGAAAAAAGGTTTTTACTGATCTCTTCAAATTATTCTATTATTATTGCATTGTTGCTGGTGAAGCTATGGGATGAAGGTAAACTATTTTTTATTAATACATAAGTATGTATATGAACCATTCTAAATATATGTACTTTTATTCTGGACTCTGAAATATTGAGTGAGCCAGTCAACAGAGACAGGTTTAGAAATCAGGAAACAATTATTTTCTGGAGAAAATTGTTTTTATGTTTGCAATTATCATGCATGAAGACTCTAGTGCTGTCTTAAAAAAATATACATTTTATTTCAATATCAAAATGAATTCAAATGTGTGTGTACATGTATGAATAGTTTTTCATCTCATTGAACAGTAACATGTTGAATATCAGTTTATGAAAAATGATCTCAACCTTGATATGGAGTCTTTGTTAGGTGTACTTCTTTCTAGTTTTTATAATTTCTAGGTGAAATGTATTTACATATTTTTGAATAGTATATCCAAAGAGAATTTTAGATTTTAACACCTTGATAATGTAGTTGAAGTAGTCTTTAAAGTTAAGTTTTAGTTCGGTTAGATTTTTATTTTGGTTAGATTGTTGGTTTTTCAATCAATTTTGTATTGTGGTTTTTTTGGACAATGTTGAATTTTTGATGTAAATATAAAAGATAAAAAAAAACAAATATATTTTCAGAAATGTTTAGATTGCTTGGTGATCAAACATCAGAGGCACATTCGTTGAAAAGAAATTCTGTCAGATTCCCCAGCTTGCAACAGACACACACAGAAACTGCTGTTTGAGTGGATTCAGTGGGGTATTTTTTAAGTTAGGGTAAATAGTATACAAATATTGACTGCCTTAATTCGTGGTCACTAGCCTGCTAAGGTGATCCAATGAGCATTCTGAATGCCAAATGGATCACTGAGGGAGGCTAGTTTTACTATACCACAAGCTAAAACAGTCAATATGTGTGTTATAACACCTCACCCACAGATTCTAAAAGATAACTGATTGATTTAAACTAAATACAATTAAAATGTGGAAAATTTACTTGAACTTTTCCAAGGCACCCCTTCACAAAACTCTGCAGCGCTAGGGAACAATACGCACAACACGCACACTCACACAAGTGTGTATTTGCCTGCAATCGGGGACCCCCTATTGTCCCTCTTTTGTTTGTACATTAACTGTTTAGGAAGACCTCCCAAATGTTTTGCACACAAATCCAAATTGGGGAACTCTTGGGAATTTTTTGGGACCCTATTGTCCTCTATTGTTCAACATCCCCCTATTGAATGCAGAAACAAACTCGTATACATTTGCACACAATACCTGTTGCCATGCGTTGCTTATGCGTACAGTCTTTTTGGCTGTGCACAGCAAGAAAGCAAAAATAGCAAAAACCATGTGACTCGCTCTCGGCCTATCAAGATACAGAATCTGTGGGTGAGGTGTTCTAAAAAATATATACCGAGTTGGATATTAAAAAATGTACATGTATGTGTACATGTACATGTACATGTATTTTGTTGAAGCAGAAATATTGCTGACCAAATATCACCTGAAAACCTGTTACAAACAATATACATTTTGCAATGTTTTTGCTGGTACATCTAGTTGGTTGTGCTGAGCAAATTTCTGTCTTAGCAGATCATCCAAATGGAACACTACCGGTACATGTAATTAGTTCATATTTCGCAGCATCAAAGTATTTCAAACTTATCATGGAAATAGAATGATCTGCTTTAGATGAAGGTATATATTTTATAGTTGCAGTCAAATATTTAATAAGTTTCTCTTTAGTTGGATTTAAATGAGAGAGTTGAAGTAAGTTTTAAAGTCAAATTCGTTTGTGATATTTTGAAAGTACTAAAAGCCATTGAATGTATGCATGTGCAGTGTAGGTGAAACAAAGTACATTTGTTGGTAGCCCAAACAATGCAAGTCAGCCCTTTTATAGAAGAATATGTATAAAAATTCTCTCTTTTTTTTGTAGTTAAATCCTTTTCTGCGCAAACTAGAGCAGTGTTTCGAAATTGTGGCAGTCCTGAAAATGCTCTCGTTACTTATACATGTACATGTTCCAGTATATGAGTGATTGTGCAACTAGAAGTTTGACAATAACTGTGTGCAAAATTCCTGGTAAATATGGTGAAATATATGTGTTATATTTTGAAATAATGGTGCTAACCTTACGGCTACTGCCCTGGGTTTAAAGTTATAGTCCATCATTTGTAATGTGTGCATTTTGTTCGTTTGAAGCAACAAAAGTGCTCAAAATCTAAAGAAGGGTACTGAACAACTAAACCTGATGAAGTTTCATCTCAGCTTCAGCTGTAAATTCTGAGAAAAACAGCATTCTAGGATCTCAATTTCAAATCAAAAGTTGCTGAATCATGTTTTGAATTGCGCCTGAATTCAGCGTCTCGGAGACACGTTCTCGCTGAGCCGAATGCAGCTACGCGATGTCGCGCACTGATCTGACGAATTATAGCAACCGGGGGTGCGTGTGCATCGTGCCAATGCTTGCGTGCGCTTCGCTGAATAACAAAACAATTACTAATTTAAATTTTCCTACGGTGCGTCTTAAGAAGCACCGTTGGAAAGGCCTTCTTTCGTTGATTACTTCAAAATGACAGCTTCCCAGAAAGAATAATTTCACAGGGAGTTTAGTCCCCTTACTATCTTTCAACCAAGTATGTTTTTCAACAATAATTACGCCAGCTACTTTTTGGATTGCTGCAAATGATGGACTATAGCTTTAAGCTAATGTAACTGCCTGTATGTGAGCCCTATTTGTGTGGATCAAGTACATTTTGTATTTAGTCGACTACTTTTTAGAAATCATGGTGTTCGTACAATGTGTGTTTTACATTGAAACAAAATTTAGGAACAATTCAGGCATGGAGTCGTGGTTTCAATAGCATGTTTTATTCCAATCTGTTCTGGCCAGTTATCCTCACAAATGTGTGTACAGAGTCACTGTAATAATGTGTTTGTCTTGTACTGAATTCAAGCAATAAATTAATCTATGAGCCACATGGCTACCATACAGTATTTGGCTGATCAGAATTTTTTCTTGCACGAGTTTCTAACATGGGATCTATCATGTTCCAGCTGTGGTAACAATTTCAACTCTCTAGACGTTGTGAACCCAAAATATCAGAAAAATGCAACAAGGTTCTTGAGAGTTTTAGATCTGCCAAAGAAAAAGGCGCTTATCTGAATTTCAGATAATATGTCCCAACGGTACTTTCGCATCGCAAAAAATTGCAGTAACACCTCAAAGCTACATATATGTCTCAAACTTGGGCCGAGTGCAAGTTGACTCTAATGTTGCAGATTTTGTTTTTATTACAACAAGTCTCTTTGGATTTTCTTGGATAAGAGTAGAACAGTTCTGGTAAATAGCATAAGGAATATTTTATAGTACCAACCCACTGCAATAATGACCAAAGAGTATAGAGGATAACACACACAAATTTACACGCCTAGAACTACATGAAACAGAATTATTTCGCCCAATCACAATATATAATATATTTAATGCAAAAGTCACAGCCATTTAGAAAACACATCGCAACCCCCCGTTTAACATCAAATGTTCAATCAGTCTTGTACCAAAGGCACTCTTCATAAAAGGCATAAGCCTTTTCCTGTTAAGTAGATTTAGCATTTTTGTTAAAGAGTCTAAATGTTAAGCTTAGTATTCCAAATTTGTTCAGTAGATGATTCTTTTGTTAGTGTACATGTAAATTTGTGGCAATTGCCCACAAGTTTTAAAAAGCCAGGGAAAACTTGGTTTGCTAGCAAATTATTCACACAAATTAACAGCTTATTTTCCTTTATAAAGAAACAGCAACATCAGTACCATTTTTTTCTCAAGAATTGAACACATTCACTGTCAACCCCAAAACGTCTGACACTGCTTCGGTTTTTGTGAACAGAATGTCTGAAAGTTGAACAAGGGTTCGAAGAATTTTAGGCGGCCCCAATGAATGGAACCTAATGTTGGTCTTGTTATCATTTCTTTCCTACCATGGATTCCAGACTCTTTTGGCGTTCATAGTGATTCACAGTTTCAGAATCAATAACAATCACTTCCCAATGGAATTGCAAATTCTTGGACATAACCCAAATCGATTCCAAAAATGGTGGATTTGCTGAAGCCTGCCCAGTACAGACACATCCTTTTTTACGTGTCATTTCAGTTCAACGTGACAACAACAAACATTCTTAATATTAGACATAAAAGTCGCCTTCCCCCACCCCCCCCCAAAAAAAAACATAAACGGAAAAGTTTATACATCAATTCAACTGATATTCACTCACACAAATATGAACAGATAGAAATCAAGTTGTTTTAAAAACACACACAGTAAACAATCACATAGCATGATATGTACACTGCAAACTTATATTAAACAAAATCTTATTCTCACCACAGTCTAAGTGATGTGGTAATGTTATGTACAATTTCTCAATGCATAATATATCTTTCCCTTTTTTTCATTTCTCCGAAGGAAGTATGGCTTGGTAAGAAAATCGTCGTATAAAACAAAGATTTATTTAAATGGGATAACAAATTATCAGCAGATTGAATGTTTTTCAAATAAAAATATATGCATCCGCAACATAGACGGCCAAAGAAATTTTAGTTTTAGTGGAAGATCAAGCAAATCCGTTTGAGACCGGATAAAGGAGAGGGCAGATTTGGAGATTGTTTTCCCATTCTTGTCCTGTCCTGATCACAAGGAGTTTCCAAACCTCGGCTGCATTTGGACTTGGGCTTTAGCAGACTTGAGACCTTGAATCCTCTGAGATGAGGCTAAAGTTAAGGGCATCCATTTGGTTTTGAAATAAAGGGCTTGACATGATTTTAGACTCATGGAGCCCAAACTGGGACGTTGCCGAAGTTTTGGAAGCACCAGCTTCATCTGAGGTAAAGTGTAACATAACATGACCACATGACTCACAGTGCCACGCACACTGATGTCTTCTTTGCTTTCGGGGACCGGCTGCTATTGTTGGTGTTCGTGTTCTCCATGGCTGTTACTCCCCTGTGGCATTTCAGTCAAAAAAAGAAAACATGAAAACAAAAACAAAATGATAAAACTTGACCAAGTTCAACCAGATACTCTGCAGCAAACATATACAGAAAGACCCGACATTGTGATTACCTTGTTTTACTTGACAAATAATAACAGCATGATTTTTTTTGTGATTACCTTGTTTTACTTGACAAATAATAAAAGCATGATTTTTTTTTGAGGTAAAAGTGCTAAGCTTTTGCTTTTTATTCTTTCAGATGAAATGATACTATAGTTTTATGAATTGAATGATTTTCCAATTTCTACAACACTTTTCCCTACCAGAGTTCAGCGCTTCAACTTTTGTAAAACAAAAACAAAATTGACGAGATTTTTTTTTTGGTCAATGAAATTCCACTTTAAAGCATGGAAATGAGATTGTGATTTTGTTTGTGACTGTCAATGTTAGTTTTGCGTTCTGGGTCCAACTGGGAAAATGACCATATGTACAAGTATCTGAATACATGATATCTGATATCTAGACGGAGACAATGGAAACAAAATGTGTGCAGTACGTGCACATTTACATTTACAATGTATTCGGTATCTCAATTGCAGACAAGAGGTGACTTAATACAAGGCAAATGAGCCACTTGATTGTACATGAAGCCGGACTCTGTGTTTTGCCTTCTATCCCTACCCCTAAGATACACACGTACTGAAATTTGTATCCTTGTGGACACATTTCTTTGTTCTCATGTACTTAAGTTTTCGAGTTTGAAAGTACCATTTCAAAATGCTCTTATTTTAACCAGAATTAATTTCCTTGGCTGAAATTCGGACTTAATATCCCTTTTCTAAAACTCTTCCATTTGTGACAAATCAATATACCTTGAAAATTCCTAGTTTTTTAGTACTAAATCCATATATCTATTTTGTGAAAACCTTGTGGAGATGTATTCATCTATAGAAATTGACCTGTGGAGACGTATACAATCTTTTGTTTCTATTGTGTGCATGTCTCCAGAGGGCACGGTGTATCAGATCAGAAACACAGTTAAGGAAATTAATGTTTAACTTGGCTGAGTATACCACGTAGAGCACTGTTTCACATTGTTATCAACATTTAGTGAGTGACAAAGTTAGCTGCATATGAAAGTTCACTACGTGTATATGTCACAACTATCATTCTTCATTTTCACTTGATAAATCTAAGCAGATATATTTTCTAAATCTAATAAAAAAATTAAAAATGGAATATTAATCTAGTTTTACACGAGTGTCGCAGTTTCACATTAGCAACATAAACAACCAAATAAACATAAAGGTAAAATACAACATTTGCTTTTGCATTAACTTTCAGAAATGATAGATTTGGGGCTTGGTATTTTATAGCAAATACGTTACACTGACCTGTTTTTGTGTTCATAGATACTGGAAAAAAACAGCAATTTTTTTTCTCCTGTAGTCTGGTTCCCTGACCCTACTTCAGAGGAAACGGAGCAATTTATAGATGTCAGGGAATTGCCAGGTCGGGGTACCAGAATAGCTGGCTTGCACCCATTCACGGATGAGTAAGTGATAGCAAACAAATTGTGGACTAATCAATTTGGTTAATTGGGGGCAGTATTCGAGAAGATGGTTAGCTGACCATCATTGGAAATTGATATAAAAATTCCACTTTTCTTGAAAATGACAGCGCCAGGTACCGTGATTTCACAGGATACTTATGACTGTTATTCACTTATACAGTCAAGAAAGGTATTTCATAATAATTTGGTGGTTTTGTTTTTCGATGTTTGCAAATGTTGTATATTACCTTTAAGCAAATGAAAAAGTGACTTTTAAAGCAAACTAAAAAAAGAAACAAAAACGAAAAGAAATCACCAGGCGAACATGGGGGAGCCAAAGCATGCATAAGCTGGTTGTGAGGACACCAAACACAAGGCTGACAGGGTCACCACTGCGACATCACCACCATGACATCATCCACCCAGACATCACCACCACTACCACTGCTCCATCCATCCATGCAGTGCGGAGGAAAAGTCAAAAATTCTGCGATACTTACATTACTTACATAGGTAGGAGATGGTCAATCTTTTCACCCTTCTCTAGGAGTTCTTCCATGTCACTCAGTTTGTTGACCCCGTCAATGACGCACTGCACCTGCTGGACCTCGGTGGTGCCCAGACGGTCCAGGTTGGAGATGTCGTACACGCCCCCAACGGCATCGGTGAATTCTCCGCCTTTATAGGAGAAGGGCACGCAAGGCAAGAATGGTCACTTTCAGATCTTCACTTAAACTAAACGATTTTAGCCGCGGGAGTTTGCATTATACAGGTAGTCCCCAAACAAACCATATGGTGGTGGTAAACCTACCACAATCTGATCATTTCTATCAAAATTATAGGAGTTCAGATCTAAGTGTTGAGTTTTAAGAAAATGCATGTCTGACTTCACTGCACACTCGACATTAATAAACGGTTTTCCTTGGAGGTATGTGTGGAAGTCAGAAGATACTCTAGCTTGCAACTTATTCTTATACATCAATACAGCGATTAATCAAAACAAAAATTTCGCCCTTTTTACCATCCCCATGCATGGAGCTCACATAGTAGACTAAAAAAAAACCCCAAAACAATCACATTTTTTCCTTGTGACTCTACAATTTCAAATTTCAAAACCAGCTCACTTGTTCCACGCTTCTGGAGTCGGAGGGCCTTGCAGATCTTGTCCAAGTCGTAGCGTTTGTCGTCAGCAAGGAGAGGGAAGCGGGCATGTACACTGCAGCGCACTCCAGTGCCCAGGTTAGACGGGCAGGTCAGGATGAAGCCCAAATGATCACTCTTCATGAACACCTTGCCCTCGGCTGCCATGTTCTTCTCAAACTGTTCCAGAATACAAAGTAGACAAAAAAGAACACCTTTTGGTGAATGTACATGTGAATAATTGTGCCGATCTATTGGCTCTAGTTCTTGGTTCCTGTCCTAAGTATGGTTTCTTTTTCAAGACATAAGGATAAGTTTTGAAAAAAACAGCAACATTTTTTTCCTGAAGATCTCAAATTCAAGACCGAAGTTCCCTGAGAATGTTGCCCCTTTGCACAGCAAGTTTTACTCATAATTAACTCATTGGCAATTGTACTACATTGTATTACATTGTATTTATTCACGGATTAATCCATAAAAATCACTGAGTGTTCTCTGGATGTGACCTTGCGTATAATTTTGCATAATCAGACCAGCATTAATGACATGATAAATCAACAATGACTGACATAATAAATAGTGGGCAGTCATTGAAAAAGTAAAAACTTAGCTATGTGTACATGTACCTCGAATGTAAACAAGTACTGTGGTGCTTCTCAAGGTTTGTTAATTAAATAGGTTTGAAAGATTAATATTAGTGCTATGTATGTTTACCTCAAATGAAGATCGCTCTAGTGTATGTCCTTTTTTGTAATTCGGGTTTCATTTAATATTTGTAAACGGATTTAGATTTTTTTTAGTTTTAATGTTTAAAGGTGTAATCGTCACATCTTTAGCTCGGGCAGTTTCAGGTGCTAGGAGCATTAGAGAGGGCAGTTTGGGGCAGTACAATCACGAATGGCTTAAACCAGTCGGTATAACTTCTGCAGGTCATCAAATTGGTTTCAGTGAGAAAAAAAATATCAAAGGTTTTATGATGCTAGCCCTTTGAGGTCCAATGTGCTGAAAATACGTTTGACTTACGGCGTTGAGTCCTTCACAGAAGAGCTCAAAGGTAGCCTTCATGTCACCCCCTTGCCTCATGGAGATGATACGCAGCTGATCTTCTTCATTCACCCAGACAAGAAACTTTTTGTCTGCAGTGTGCCTGCAAACAAGGAAAGATGCATATTGTACATGTTGTACGTTAGAGAAATACACTACAGTTAAAAAGAAGGATAGACAAGAGCTGTTTTCAAAATTGCATTCTTGCTCAAAAAAAAAAAAAAAATTTAATTTTTAATTTTTAAACAGAATTTAACAGAATTTGCCTTATTTTCGATATGCTAAATAGTACCAAAAAGACATATTTGATAAAGAGCTATATAAATTTGAATGGTCAATACTTGTAAGTATACATGTACATAGATTGTTACACTGGGGTTTTTTGCAGCACAGCTTTTGATAAAAAAAAAGGACGTTAAGTGAGAACTGGACTACCAAAACATACAAACACATGTACATGTACATGTATTGACTGCTCGAGTGTTGTGGTAAAGAAGCATTCTGTTTTCCTAAGGCAAAGCCGAGGATAAAGAATTATCATTGATGGCGGCTACCCTTGTTAAATCAAGAGCTAGAGCGGTCAATATTTGTTTTGGAACACTATAACAACAGCTTCTACTTGATTTTTAATAGAAAACTGACTAATTTAACTCTCATCCATAAAAATGTACTTTCAAAGTAGTTAAATTTTTCTAAACTACTGAAACTTTTGGCCCTAACTCTGTAGCGCGTGGTAGCAACACACACACCTGTATGCATTTGCAAATGTGTATAGTTCAGCTGTTGTTTTAGTCTTTTTGCAACGTGCTTGGTAAGAAACTATAAATAGCAAATACCATGTGTTGTGCTCTCGGCCAATTAAGATACAGAATCTGTAAGTGGGGTATCATAGTAAAAAGACCCATTTGAAAAGCCCTTTTCACACAAGACAAATCTCGGGGTCGACGCAGGGTTGAAAACATGCATCGTTTCACACTTGAAGAATCTTAACCCTGCGTCAACCCTGCGTCAACCCCAAGATTGATTTCGCCCTGGGTTGAACTCAACCCTGCTCCAGACCAGGGTTGAGATTTTCAACCCGGGTTGAAATTCTTGACAGGGGTTAAAACAGTAGTTACTTAGCATGATAAGCTTGATTTGCATGAAACAAGTGTGAAACGATGCAGATTGAACGCAGGGTTAAAAAATCAAAATCTCAACCCGGGGCGGCACTGGGTTCACCCAGGGTTGAGTTCAACCCGGGTTGAGAAGCTCTTGTGTGAAAAGGGCTACAGTATATTGGCTAAATTCCTTACCAGATGCCTCGCCCATCGGGGAAGTCTCTTGCCATTCCACCACTGGTGAAGTGACGGGAGATTGGTCGCTCAAACAAGAAGTGATCATCTATAAGTTGTTGCTTGTCCGCTTCACCCAGGGTCTGCAGGGAGTAATACTTGCCTTCCAGTTTGTCCTTGAACAAGCCAAGTGCTGGCATCAAACAAGAGTAATGACCATGTTACGTGTTGATAACATACTGTACACAACACATCTTTTCAATTTTTTTTTCAAATCAAAAGGGAATTTTTATAGCCAAGCTTATTTTATCTTACTTAGGCTCAGTTTAATTTCAGATAATGCATATGCTCATGAGATTCCAAACATCAACAACATTAAACAATGACATCAGCCAGACGCTTCCATGTTAGGTTCTCAATAATCAAAAAAGAAGGTCTGGATGAATTTTAAGGATAAAAAGAGTTTAGTGTCAAACGGCCCATGAATTACTGGGACTTATATAGTACTCCTGAAAAAAAAATGCTACAAAAAAGACCCAAAAAACCCCTCCAATGAGAATATACTTGGTTCTTGCAAAGTGGTAGATTTTTAGAATATAAATGTGGAAGGCTCCTGGGCAACGGAGAGTTAGGACTTAGGAGTTATGTAGTACACCTTTTAAAATAAATTTTGGACAGTGTTAATATACTCACCACTCTGAGCGATCTTCTCGACCTGCCTCCTCTCTGCGCGGCAAATAAACGGTGAGAGTGCGTAGCCTCGGATGTTTCGGCCAGTCCGTATCCGAGAGCTGATCACATACTTCTCGTTCAGCTTGCCCCCTTCAAGTTTGCTGATGGTCATATCCGTGACGTGGTTGTCTGTCGATAGTTTACAACATTGCGATTTAAGGGTGAAGTAAATTTTTGTACCAATTCCTTCTGAAATTGTCATGTTATTATAAGTCATGGATCAGATATGTGCAATCTAAGCAAATACAATTCAGGCATTTAATTTTGAGATTATTAATTGTTCCTGTGGTTTCCTGACTAAAGGCCATTTCGTACTTAATGTGAATTTGACGTCACGAAGTATTCGCATAAAAATTCGCCGGCGTTGAAATGTGTTCAAGTTTTGGGAATTCGCAGCATGAATTCTTGCCCTGATGTCACAAATTCATGTTCTCATTTGCACGGTCTTGACTGTATACATGACATGATACAACAAAATGTGCATCAGAAGGTATCCAATTCCTAACATGAATACAGTTTTATTTGTGCCTGACCTTGCTGATGGTAATATACTACATTTGCTTTTGCTGTTATTCTCAGAAATGGTTGGATTTTGGGGTTTGTATTTTATAGAAAAGACATATTTAAAGTTTTTGTGTTCATAGTTGCTCAAAAATCCAAGACAAAGACATGCTGTAGGTCTGGTGCCCCAACCCTATTTCAGACAAAACGTTCACAGATGTGTAACGTACCGATTGGAAACAAAACGTTGACTAACTAAATTTGGTAAATTATGACCAGCTTTTGAAAAAAAAACAACCTCATTTTATTAATGATGGTCTACTGACCATCATTTGAAATTAATTGATACACAAATTCCACTTCTCTTGAAAATGACAGCACACTGGGCGCCATTATTTCACAGGATGCTTGAGACTATTGTGCACTTACAGTCAAGTAAGGCATTTCATAATAAATTGGTATTTCTGTTTTTTGATGTTTGCAAATGTTGTATTACCTTTACGAAAAAAAATAATAAATGGGTTTTTAACCTAATTGCTGACAAATTGATTACATGTACTCAACAAGGTTCTGTCAGATCGATAGAATGATTTGAAATGGATAATGTCTCCATGTTCTTGTGTAATAATTGGTCTAAAGTCCTTCCATATGTCTATAATTTTGTGGAATTTTTTTTTGTGTTTTTGCATTTTGCGTACAGTAAAATGACATAAGTAAATTTCTCGGTGACTCACTACTTAAATTGTTTATCGTCTGTTCCTTTTCCAAATATTAAAAGAGGCAAGAAAAAAAAAATACCCCAAAACTTGAAGGTGGTTTTCAATTACCTGTAGGCTTGAACCCATTATGGTATTCTTGGATGATGGGGTCAAGCACTTCCTTGAAGACCTCATATGTCTGCTCATCACCGGCCAGAACTCCCAAATGGAAATCTGTTGACAAACAGCAAAAGGGCGCATAACAGCAGATGATTTACCATTGAATAGGAGTCAACGAGATTTTTGAATTCCCATTTATTATCCCACAGACATCCTGTATATTAATTACTGTAACAGTCAAATGACATTTTTTTTTGTCAAAGACAAATCTTCAACAGATATAACTTATTTGAAACATGCCTAGTGTTTATCTATTTTGTGAAGGACAGGAAAAATACTAGTCTAGTTTTAGAATGGAATTATTCCTTAACTATACAGACATGTGCCATCTGTATCACCCAAAGTTGTGATTGAATCCTCACAAATCAATCACAAATATCAACCAGTCTCATCAGGTCCAATCACAAGTGATTCATGATTAGTGATTTACGAATTAAATTCATCGGGCACCCTGACTTGCTCGAGTGCTCAGCACATTTTAACTTTGAATTCACCAGACCAAAGGGACTGAAGCTATATCCCGTGGTTCGGGGCAAGTCTTACACTAGCAACCCCAAGCTTCGGAACTGTCTGGTGTCCTTGTGCCATTCTCACCCATTGTGAGCAATGTATTGATGCTGAGCGTCTCTTACACAATAGTGCAAGAGCTTGCCCCGAATCATGTGATATATAGCAACAGTGTCTTTGGTCTGGAGAATTCAAAGTTAAAACGTGCTAAGCATTATGAGCAAGTCAGTGTACCAGAAGTTACTCAAATTTAACTTGCAAAGGGTAGGCTTATAGGTTATTTGCAAATGGCTTTTTGAGAGGAAAGCATTCAGAAGCTTTTCTGTGGCAGCCCCTCGTCTATGGAACAGTCAGCCAATAGCCATGAGATCACAACCAAACACTGACTCTTTCAAATCTTGTCTCAAACTTACCTCTCCATTCAAGCTCATCATTAATTGTCTCAGACCCCAGTGCAGTGAATAGGTTTTCCTAGATACCAGCACTTTACAAGTTTTTATTATTAAGTTTTATTATTATTAAGGGAATAAATGTGTGCTCCGGAGGTTTTTATCACTCTGTTTAAGACCACTTAGAGTCTGGGTGCTGATAATTACCCGAGCCGGAGGCAAGGGTAATTATCAGCACCCAGACTCTAAGTGGTCTTAAACAGAGTGATAAATACTGACTGAGCACATATTTATTCCCATTAATAAATACCTTTTTGGTAAAAAAAAATCATATAATTCGCTCAAAACATCCCGATTTTGTTCAACAAATTCACTATATGCTTTTTGAAACATCCCTCTTGCAAAATAATGGAGTGTTCAGCTGGCGAGTAAGATGTAAACAACCCTTTTATGGAGATTGACGCGCACGTATCATGTTCTGCGCGATGTCGCGCAGAACGCACCTGGCGCGTTGCGTTTTGAATTTAGAACTATAAAGTTCTGACTCCCTGGTAGTGTCTTTATCATCCGTTTAAGACCGGCCACGTGACGGGCTCTCGACCAATAGGAATGCGTAAACTGTCTTAGGTATTTATGAATCCTTTGTAACTGTTCATCCCCCGTTACTTGTTTCATTGTTTTGCGATTGACTTGTGATGTGACTTTTTATGACTTGTGGTTTGACTTTTGGTTGACTTATGATTGGACTTGTGTTTTGACTTACGACTTCTGCTTTGAATTGTCATCAGTACCGTATGATCGGACTTGTGACTGACTTGTAACTTGACTTGTGATTGACTGGTAGTCATCCAATCAGACGTACTGGTGTGATCTTGTTTGATTGGTTGGTCTAATGCTTTTGTTTTTGACTTTTGTTCAATTTTTGTTTACCTACCTGCATTGTCCACACCATTCTGGATGACTCGGTCCAGAGTAAAACCACTCTCTGTAGTCACATCTCTCAGCTTGACGTACAGATCCTTGGTCAGGTGCTTGGAAAGCAGTGAATTGTGGCCCTCAAAGTTGGGAAAATCCTCCCCTGCGGGGATCTTCTGCTGGTATAGGCTTGCCATGACTGAAGCAGTTGAGTACTTAACAATTCCTCTGTTTGAAAAAAGGAAACAGAAAAATCTATAGGACTAGGTGGGAATAAAATATTGCAATTTAATTGGCTACAGCCAATCAATCTGAACATTTTGTGGTTTAAACATGTACAAGAAAGAAATACTGGCCTGTTTATGCTCTCAATGTAAACAAAGTTTCTTGTCTTAAAATAATTTCTATTTCAATAAACTTAATAACCTGGCTTGAATAAGGCTGGGAAATACCCCCAAGTTGAAATGAATGATCTGAAATGCAGCTAATGAAACACCCTCGACCTTGTTTTATTATTTTAGAGAATTTTTTCGTATAAAGTGTGTGTACTGTCAGCGTGATTTTTCTTATTTTCTTTTAAAAAAATTTTGGCACGATTTTATCCTTATAGCATTATCAAATAGGGTTCATTTAAACAATCTAAAAATTAATTTAACCCCGTACCATGGACAGAACCACACGATGGAACCCCCCCCCCCCCAACATTTAGGGGGCAAATCACAAGGGCAAAAACATAATCCTTGTTCATTTGTACGCTATGATTTTTGCCGGGGGGGGGGGGGGGGCTGTTGCTCCCAAGGGGAGGGGGATAGGCCCATAGGGACGGACTTGCCCCCCCCCCCTCTCTCAATCATCATCATTCAGCTATTTTGAAAATATCTAGACAAAAAGTGGCTGGTTTAAAATGATTCTATAGTGGCTCAAACCTTTCTCCTAAGAACTCATGGACTGTCTTACAACTGATAATAGACATAGATAGACTAGTTTATTCAAAATCATCTTGGAGGCATATGCAGAATTAAGATGGCAATACAATGTTACACCAGATAGAAACAAATAAATCAGTTAATATGAAATTAACACAAAAATGCAATAAGATACAATCCCCATTTAAATTCTAAAAAAAAAGACTTTAGAAAGTTTTAATGTTAAAAAATATGATTGATATTAATGTAGTAAATGACAATTGACCAATAAATGTATCAATAACCACTGATAATGTAACAAAAAGCACTGATAGTGTAGTAAAATATAGTTATAATAGTTACACTGATAATGTAACAAAAATTGACTGATAGTGTAGTAATTTTACTACACTATCAGTAAATTTTTGTTATAGTGACACATGGGTTGGTGATGTGGTTATCTGTTGCTTACTACATTATGTTGTACCAACAGACTGCAGCCGAAAAAAAACAAGAGTGAGACTATTAATGAATATACAATACGGGACAAAAAGGTTCAGGAAAAATTGATATAAAACAATTTAAACATTCATTGCATCTTTCAGTTAACAATCAAAACTTAAAGATCGTTTTCCCCGCTTGGATTTGCAGGAAAGCTCTTTCTCTGTCCATGGAACTATACAAATGTTAAGATTAAAGGATCGGCGAATGATTAACCCTCAGTCATTGACTGTCCAGAACCTATTTAGTTCAACACTTGTCTGTCAGCGCAGCAAGGATGCAGGAAATACAATATGCAGACTAATATGTTGATAACTGTAACAAGTCGCGGTCAAAGTAAGTTCGCAAAATACCTAAAAATTCGTTGGTTTTTTTTCTCACTACGAAAAAGTGTTGGGGTGATCCACTAGCCCAATCCCACCTTTCCCGGTCAAAACGTTTGGGGATATACCAAGAGATTTACGCCCCTGGACACAGATGTTTACTTTAATTCCTGTCATTCTTTGGATTCTTATCAATGTTTGACTATCTAAATTTCCTTATTCCAACTTACATTTTACTGGATCACTGTCTCGTAGGCCTTCTCGTAGCAGAGCCAAAAAAATGTAACGGGTGTCCTACTCCTTCGCAGCCAAACAATCCACTGCCGTAACGAGAGCGTCCTTAGTAACCACAACTTAACAACACAGCTCACGCACTGATCACGTGAGCCCGCCCAATCGATAACAGAAGACCTGATCTAGCGTCTCGGTGCTCCTTAAGATTTTCCTTGACAAAACTTCTTTCCAATTACAGATTAACCAAGAAAACAACTTTCTTAGAATAACAGTTTTCAAAAAGTTTAACCTTAAGAACACAACTTTCTTTGGATAACAGGTTTCAAAAACAGGCTTTAAACTCGCAGGGTGTAATTTAACTCCAAAAACTTAATGGTCTGCTATGCCTCAAATTTCTCTCCACTCAGGAGATAAGACCTTTATACTTAAAACTCCCGTTTCTCTTGTAGTCTTGCAACTTCTAAGATAAATACATGTACACTGTGCGCATAAATAGTTCACAAAGCAAATGCCTTAGTTTTCTATTCTGTTTCCAAGGCGAAAAAAAGTTGTTGATTTCAAAATAAAACTATACAAAATGTGCCAATGGGGTTCCTGCATGGGGCGGCAATCTGTTATGAAACACTCCTGAAAGGCCACTCGTCCCTGGCTGCCATTTTACGACTAATTCTACCTGTATAATCGCCTCTACTTCTGCGTTGTATTATGATGAGATTACACTTTCCGCTGGAGGATAAGTCACGGTTGATCTATTTTGAATAGTCTTTCTTCCTAGCAGCGCGCATCATCAATACATTTTTTTCTGCTCCGGGGTCACACTTATGGTGACATGCATACCAATGAATACCACACTAGATGATTACTTAATAGCTGGACCTTTCTCTATGGTTAGACCATTACGAGAGAGGACGGTTGGACCATGGAGGTCTTGCCACAGGATAAGACTATGGAGGAAATAGTCCTGTATAGAAAAGTTGTACACCCAGCAGGATACGGGCGAGAACCAACACGTTTCGGTCAAATCTATATGAAGATATCTCCCACGGTCAAACCGAAAGAGAAGACCCGTAATTAAGACAGTGTCTCGGCAAGAATTTAGCGATCGGGAAAAGCTGGCAGTAATGACAGAAGCTGTATTAAAAAAATATTCAAACGCATCTTCATCAGTCAACAAAGCGACCTCGCCGCAAAGCGGCCTCGCCTTGCGTCGGAGTCCCAGGCTGATAATGCAAATTATTGTGCCTCAAAGGCCATTTTTTAAATGGAAATCACCCGAGCAAGGTATAAAGCAACTCTTGGCAAAGGGCCGGAGAGAAAAAAAAATATTTTGAAAACAACACATTAATCAGGGTGGGAGATGACATTCCTTAAAAGAGGCTAGATCATAGAACGGAGGGAAACAGCCAGAACGCGGAAAAAAATCTTTTGAGTAGCAGCTGCATCTCGGCACATCAGAGCTCATGCATAGAAAGCCTTACTCGCTCAAACGCTGACAACAGGACCAAGTAAAACTAACTGGTGGAACGCATTTTCAAGGAAGTATCTGTAGAACAGATATGAGGGTGGCTACTGACCGGGGTCTACCCGATGTTGCCCGAAATCCTTAGGATTAGGGTCAGGGTTGGGGAACATCGGGATAAGGGAAGGGGCCCTATCATAAGTCCGACGCCTTATAGGTCCAACGCCTCGTAAGTCCGAAATAATGAGGCGTCGGACCGTTATAAGGCATACATTCCGCCTCATAGGTCCGACACCTCAGTCCATCCGACGCCTCATAAGTCCGACAATGGACAAACGCTGTTCCAGACTTATGCGGCGTCGGACCTATGAGGCGGAATAAATACGTTTTATGCCTCATAAGTCCGACGCCTCATAAGTCGGAAATTTAGGACTTATGAGGCGTCGGACCTATGAGGCGTCGGACTTATGAGCGGACCCCTTAGGGAACATATGTATGCACCCCAACTGACCAACGGTGGGAGAGGGGTTGTAATGACTATAGCTGAACTCTTCACTACTTCACAACCAAATGAACCAAATCCGTGACGGACTGAGCAACAGGTTTCTCAACTCAAGTACTTCGACTGTAGCACTTCTGAGTTGCTTGCGCTCTGAGGAACGGCGTTCCTTCTCGGCTTTTTATGAGAACCCGAGTTCCACACCACAGACGCTGCAACTGCTCGGATGATCTTATCTGAACTTGATTCCCCGTCATGGAGATTACATCCAATAAGTCGTCACGGCGCATTCTGTTTCGACTATATATATCCTCCTGTAGATCACAATAGACCGTGTCTACCATCAGCTGGGAACATATCCTCCACCAATTCCAGAAGGCTTTGCGATGGTTTCTGCCAACAATTCCTTTAATTGCTGGGCCCGATGAAGTTCCTTCCTCCCAAGAGAGTCGAACTGGGACTCGAAGACTCGGCCAGTCGCTTGTATGAGACTTTTGCCTCAGCCTTCTGTATAGTGCCGATCCTGTCAGTATTATAGCACAACAGGGTACTGGCATATATCCTTGTCGTCGCATCCGTTTATGGCGGAGCACATAAGTGCCGTATAGTCCTTCCATAGACTTTCGATGGGTCTCCTAATTTGGCCGAGTGTCGGCTCCTGATCCTTTGGCTGTCGATGGAATTGTCACTTTGCACTGTCCACTCGGCTTTTTCATCCACTTGTATGTGGATTGGGTCGAGCTGGGACTCGGGCAACTGGAACAGGGCAGGACTGGACATAACCTTCTAATTTTATGAAACATCCGATTGAACAATCAACATCGACGCCCTGTCATGGGCGGGGTGGTCTCGTTTTGTTTTGCTATGCTCGTTATCGTGGGTCAAATTTAAATTTACTTATTAAAACTAGCTTAACAAGTTCACAACCTGTTTATTGGTCAATTCATTTCACCCATGATCCGAACGATATATGCACTCGTACTCGTTGCACAGTCTTAGTTTTGCCTCTATTGTGCTCAGTCTGCAGTCACTCAATTAAGGACTCCTAATTGCGCTAAACGGAAAGAAACGACTCCATTATTGGTCGTTGCTTTTTGGTGACTGTAAACAAAAATAGTAACCTTGCCCCCGAGTCTACGAGCTGCGCTACTGGTATGCAAGTTCAAGGTTGAAGTTACGTGTACATGTGTGTACAGTACATGAAAATACTAAAAGCCGGTATCGTAAGCCTATACACTGTACACGTGTATCTAGCTATAGGTTATAATATACATGTAGCTACATACACGTTTAGTGGGGCAGTAGGGAAAATAAGTGGGGCAATTGTGCCTAAATGATAGCAATGGCATTTACCTAAGAAAGTTACTCAAAATACATGTATTTCCAAACCGGTCACTGCCGGCGCCGTGTCATGCTTGAAAATCTGTGCCTACCTTTCATAAACGGATTAAACTTCACACAGACAATATTTTCATGAAAATCTTTCTTTCTTCGAATTGAAGTACACGTTCAACCACATCCTCCCTCCATGGTTCAACGTCGAGAAGATTTCATTGTCATTTGCAACGTTTAACCATGGAGGATGGAACCCATGGTTCAACTCTGCAAATGGATGTGACACGGGGTAAGGCCTACATGTAGTTGAATCGTCATGATCAAAGCGTGTTACCTATTTGGATCACTGTCCTTCATTGTGCACACCAATGAAGGCCGTACCAAATCGCACCGGTTCTAACCTATAAATGGGGCCGACATTATTTTGTTCAGTCGCCGTCTGCCATTCAAAAGGTTGTGCGTACTATGTAATTCCAGTAATTCTAGGGGGAGGAGGAAGTAAGGTACAACTTCAAATTAAAGCACAGATTTCCTAAGGCCAAAATTGATTTGTCCTCCGCTCAAAAGGAATTCCGACATTGTCGCCTCATGCCCTCATCTTCAAGACGCATAGCAACTGACAGGAGCGAGCCCTCGAGACAGAACGGGTCGATCACGACATTGACCTAGGGACTCGCCCACACACACCGTACAACACACGGTTCATAATGAGCACAGTACAGAGGGTGTGATGAGAATATGTAATGAACAACGCTCCCAGTCTCACGCAGAAAATATTTATATCGCCCCTATAACGTTGTTGGTTAAATCGCACAAGGAGGCAACTAAAAAACAGGAAAAATATCATGATATTCATAGGTAGGCATAAACCGCTTTGCATGTTACCTAACAAATATCAAAGAGTATAATTTTACTATAGTGATCCAATCTAGAAGTACCCACCTAGTAATGGCGCTGCAAAAGCCTGCACTCGAAACGGGACAATGTCCATAAAACCAAAGTTCAAGTTCTCTTTTTTTGCGTTCTTTTCATTCCAAAATTCTACACCTATAAGTTAAAGCACCCCTTTGTTCCTATATGCATTGGTAGTAGAACAAAATAACAAATGAAAATGTATAATCGCTCTTACCGTAAAAATCTCGTGTGCTGATACAGCGCTATGATATATTTCCGCGACGTTCAAGTTTCAGAGTGGAGATATACAGTACGTACGCGTTGCCCAGCATACAGTGAACGATCAATGCATGATGCTCAGCTTGAAATTTCAGCTGGCCGTGCGGCGCAAGTGCCAATCAAAAAATGCTAATATCATGGGCATGCACGCACCGACCAATCAGCGACAAAGTATAAATACACCACCTCCTGCAGCGTATCGTAATGAAAGCGTACAATCACACAAATCGTTTTTAATATTTTTTTCAGCCTTGCGGCCAAGAAAGATCTTTGAAATCATACACAATTAGTAAATATATGTACATGAATATAAAAATACTAGTGTAGTAATGTAGTGCGTTCTAATGGACGTAAAAACCAATGATGACTGAATGATCATGAACTTGAAAAGGCTGCGAACCGTGATTGTATATCGTGAATATTCAAACAATCCCGATAAGCCACGATAAATGATAATTATTTAAAGGACTGCCCCCTCTATACAAACTTTTGGGGGTAAAAGTTTATCCTGTACGATCCGCGCGTACGTGGCGTCCGTCGGCCCAGTATCCCAGTTATTGTTCCGTCTCCCGAGCAACGCAGCGGACGCCATCAACAAATCGCAAGGACCTTGGCAACACCCTGTATCAACTCACGTTGGTCCTTTCGTTAAAAAAACCCCAAAGGTTACTCAAAGGGTTTGAACTTGTAGTTGAAATTCAAAGAGCTAAATACACAAATTGCTACCGCTTGTTTGTCGATTGGTAGGTATGAAAAGGGTGTTTTGGAAAGCTATGGAAACTATGTAACCCATGGAAGTGCGATTTGGAAATGGAGTTTAAATCAAATATAACACTGAAGTGCTAAACTTCTTCTTTTTTTTCGGATCAGAGATACGACTTGGCCTACTATTTAAAAGAAATACCGTTGAAAGTGAGCAAAGGGGATTTGATTTTTTTAAGACATATCAGTTCACTGTCACCAATTTATTGTCCGATGGAGCCCTGTGTCTCCGGTCAAACTAGTAAATACGTCAGTGAACTTGGAAGGGTAAAATATTAGTGGTTGTAAATGGCGCGCTCCAGTTCAGAAATTGCGTACACTATTCAGAACGTCCCGCTCTTAATTCAAAAGTTGAAATTAATCAATTACTTATCGTGGGCCGATTTTCTCATGCGATGTCTCATTGGAAAGATCATAACTAATGTAATGCTAGAAAATTATCAATTCAATTTGAAAATCTATTTTTCAAGGTGCCACATCCAAAAAGCAAATATACAACTTAAAAAATTCCACAATGTGTCGATTGGATAGTCATGACGTTTAGTCAATTCTGCAAACCTTTAACTCAAAGGATGAGATGTTTAAATTCGACTAGAATATCTCTCTGTCTTTTATTTCTTGTAACATATCGTTAACTTTTAAGCAACATATTTTCCCCTTTTTTACTCATTTTCAGGAGATCTTATAACATGATGAAAATACCAAATATGACCAAAATTATAAGTACATAAATGCAAAATATTTGATGTACATGTATATAGTCACTTCTTTGAGGGTAAAATAAATGAAAAAGAAAAAAAACACAAAAGAAGAAGTGTGAAACCATATTGCTGTTAATTTGATGGGGGGGGGGGGCAAATGCTCCCCTGCTCACACTCATAAAAATGATAAATTGAGAATATGATGAAAAAGTTAAGGAATTTTGGGGAAAAATTGCTTTGCCCCCCTGGAAAAAATCCTGGCAATGCCCATGAACTCCACTTAAATGGCAGCAATTATGCGCCGTAGCACCTAGCAAAAAGGTGCTACATAATGGGTCTCATATGTTCATAAACTTCATTTACCTGGCTTTGGTTGCATTCTCCCCCAGCGCTTTGTATCCTCTGGCAAAAAGCGCTATATAAATACAGTTATTATTATTATTATTATTATTATTATTAAATAATCTAATCAAATTGACTCATTGGTCAAGTGGTAAAGATGTCAGTATTGGTACGCTGCATGGAGCTATGATTCACATAAATCTGCTGAGCATGTACAACAAAAACAGGTTACCAGCTAAAACATTGTGTAATGTATACTGCCTAGTCCGCTGGTTCTCAGCACATAAATTTGCTTAGCAGCTGTCTGAAATTGGGTCCAGTCTGGTAGTTGGTCATTTTTATTTTACAGGTGGGGTGGACATCCGGGAATTTGCTACATTGGTGACTGCTCTATGTTCCGACGCCCCTATCTCCCAACTGCTCAACCTATGTTCCGACAAACCTAGGGTTAGAGGGTTAGGGTTACTGCCCGTAGCCCATAGGGGTGTCAGAGCATAGGGATGTCAGAACATAGGTGTGTAACCGCTACATTGGCTTATGTAGCTCCCAGACCTACATATGTTCTTGAAATTCAATGGTTCTTGAGTCTGGAGTGCTGAATGCCATGGTAACACATAGCAACCGATCAAAACTGATGTCACTCTACCCAACCTACAGGAAAGGTGTTTCCTTCATGTAGTAGACCTGGTAAGTCTCTACATTTCAGGATGTTTGGGATTGTTCCTATCTGGAGATTGAGTCACTCATCAACGGCCTCTATCTCCTTCAGCAGTTTGACTACATATTTCAGCAAAAAGCAGCCTGGTGGATGGTATTTTCACAGGCTGCCAACTCCTGAGGAAGAGTTATCTTCAGTTCAGTAATCCATCCATTCCTTCATGTAGATGCATGTAGAGGGTGATATTGTTCCCCCATCATAACACTGGTTGAACACCTGTGGAAAAGAAAAAGATTCTTATTTTCATAGGCAAACACTATTGGCTTGGAAATTTACAGGATACTCAAAACTCCACCACTGTGCAATAAATTGACTGCAATTTATCGACTTGTGATGGACTAGACTAAATCCCTGCACCAAAATACACTTGATTCTTTTTTTCAAATGAGAAGTTTTCAAGACAATGTAGTAAATTCAATTAATTATCCACTTCATTTGTTGGCAATGTTACCAACTTTGCAAAACATATATGAACAACTTAATTGCGTTTCCATTGAGCAAACTGTACTTATACGCAGCTAAAATAATTGTAACAAAATCATATTTTGAATAAATGGCAAATCTCTGACTTCTTTTTAGTCTACCCACGTTAATGCACTGGTTTCATTTCATGGTTAGAATTTCATTTCACAAAGAATTAAATAAACGTAATGATTGGAAGAGACAAGTGTTATTTAAGCTTCAATTTGTAACACATGGGTGATTAACAGGTGAAGTGGAGCACCTGATTAAAAAAAGACATATTGTTGGCAAATGCAGACAAAGAGAAACAGTCTAGAATTCACTGCAGACCTATTAGTCTTATCTGTTCTCAAATTGAAAAGATTAAAGTTCGATGAATCTCCCAGTGTCGGCACATCAAATATTTGCAATAGCAGCATTTGAATAGAAGGTAACCATGACGACTGCATGTGCTCGGCAATTACAATGACACGCTTGCAGCACATGCTCTTTTATGCAATGCAAAATGAATGTACGTAAATTCGTTTCTGAATGTGGAGGGTTTGAGTCATAATGTTAATGCTAATGTTGCGCACGCTAATCAAATTATGATGCCAGACACAGAGACGTTTACTCTAAGGCATGCTGACACTGTCTAGAGTACAAAATAATACATAGTGATTGTCTTGGTTTTGTTTCCCAGTCCCATGCTTTATTATTAATGATAATTTGAATGAATTGTTTATTACCTTACAAACTGAATCTTGTCTGCATTACAATTTTAGATTTCCATTTACCAATTTAAATTGAGAATCGACTTGTGTTTTATATAAAACCTTTACTTGACAATCTTTTTGGATAAAAACGAGTAGATTTTTTGCAGGGGCACAAGTCAAGTAAAGAGCACTCTAGTCTAGTAAATTGTTTTGGGTCTAAGCTTCACTTTTTTTTGGGAGGGGATTTTTGAAGATTAGGGATTCTTCCTAGAAAACTACAAGGTTCGAGCTCAAAATATGGTGATCATTATTTACTATACACGGTTTATAAAAAGGCTATAAAAAAATAATGCGTCAGTACATGTACATTTGAGTTATTAAAGAGTAATTATATAAAGCATACAATTATTTACTTTTCACATTTCAGCTACATGTATTTATACTGTACAAAATATGCAGGGGGTCATCTTAAATTGGCTTAAAAAATGCACAATATTCCTTAAAGAAATCCAGCATTGACTCTGAAATAAAAAAATAGCAAAATATGATGCTGATGCTGCATGTAAATGTACAGGCATTTTACATGCATTTAGAAAAAAACTTCTAATTTGATTATTTCGAATTGATTATTTTGAGTACAAAAAATATATGTCATTATGTGAACAGATTATCAGAACAATGTGGCTATTCGTTATCTTGAAAAATATGCCAGAAGCTCATTTAATCCAATTTTGTGAAAGAATCTGTTTTAAACAAAATTTAATATTTAACCAAAGAACCATTGAGGATTTGTGCTAGTGAAAAAAAACCCATATATTAACCAAAACACCGTTAGTAGTAAACTTGTTTATTTTTTCTTAAAAATTATTTGCCTATAGGCCTACAGCTGTGAAATTGTTGTCATTTTCATGATTTGATTTATATAATATTACAGAAATTCATTTCCACATATGATGAACTTGTCTTCATTTCATCCTGTGAGGAATCAACATCACCAATTGTTCTTTATTCTAGTGGTGCAATCAATTTCAGTTGCAATGTCCCAAAATCCATATCAAGATTTTAGTGGATGCTGGTGCCATGTACTTGTTCAAATGGCAGACTGGTATCACAAGTACTCATACATTATGTACATGTACTATTGACTTTTTGCATACTCTGTGTACATTGCTCTATGTAAAATTCAATGCTGGGTTCAGAACAATTAGGCCTGCAGTTTAAACTCCAGCAACTTGAACTCAATGAGGAAATGAATGAGCGCTTCATGTAGAAATTGACTTGTGCCCGGCACTGTGTACATACAGGTTTTGTTCAATGTTAATGTCAGACAAATTAAACTTTGAACCCCAGACAGTACGAATTAGAAGCACACTTACTGTACTTTATTGTACTTTCTATTATTCTACATGGGCCAATACATGTAATGATTTACCCAAGGTTTTATTCACACGTAACTTTTTAACAGTAAATTGGCATCACACATGAAAAAAAATTTGCATTTTGTTCGTATAACAATACTGGAGCAATAATGGCAATATGTATACCCCCGGGAGGTTAAGGCAGTATTTTAAAATCAACTTAAAGTTTAATTACGCATTCCAATTGTTTTAACCATTACAACTCTGGAATGTTTTTTAAAGGCTAAGTGATGAATTCACCTATCGCCGTTTGCGAGTTAGCCACGCCCCTTAGACAACCCTGGCATTGTGTACGTTTACTTTTGCTTGTCTCAGAGTTTGCGCGTTCCGCGTCCATTTGTATATCATGTTATTGGACAACTTTTCACAAGCTGCGTTGATGCAATTCTACGTGTACCTCGATAGGTCAATAAAACTTGCAAAATTCCCAATCATTGTGGAGGGCATTGCATGGGACACCTCACTTGTCATTTTTTTTGTTGGTGCGACAAGTGAACTGAATGGGAAATAACCATTATTCAGTTTAAAAAAAATTAAGGATAATTTGATTTTGAAATTTTTCCCACCATTAGTATTGTGAGTCACTGGAATTAAAGGGTTCATGCGATGAATTTTTCTTAGTCACATTAATTTGCACAACTTTGCACTCCTCTTACGTGTACATGTATGAAAAGTATTTGGCATCATTTTTTGGTTAATTTTATTGAAAAGTGCACTTCTTTAAACATTTAAAACATTTTCCATGCTTTTTCGGACAACTGAGGGTGCTGTTGCTGTGATGTCATTTCAGGAAGACACTGTTCAGTTTACGGGTTTTCCGATCAAATTGTGATCCCGAAATTTGCTACTTGAAAACATTTGTGAGAAAGGGTTGCTCATTGGCTTACTGTCATGTACTTACACAACAACAAATCACTAAAGAAAAGAAGATTAATGACAGCAAAATATCCAAAATTCTAGCAACTTTTTGTGCTGAAATAGTGTAACATTGAGGTTTCTGCCCGGTATGATGTCATAGTTTTGCTCATGAAAAGGGAAATCAGCATTACCATAAAAAAAAAAAAACTGGCACGAAAACTCCCTTCAAAATGGCAAAACGAAAATTGAAAATGAGGTTAAATGGGACAAAAAGGTGCATTTTCAAGGATAGCATTAAAAGAATTTTATTGCATTGACCCTTTAAGTGGGAGATTTTCGTCTTTAGTGTCATCTCCCCAGCCCCACCTCCCTACCCTGAACAACCAACCCCCTGCCAACTCACCGGACACACCCCACAGGGGACCCTCATGATCCCAGCAGGCTCAGTCAATGGTCGGATAGCTCGGTACAGTTTGACTTGCCCTGGTGTGCCAGACGATGTGGACCCTGCCCGTAGTGAAACTGTCATCTCCACCTTGCCATCATAGATGAGGGTGTTCAGGATGGTTTCAATGTCTTCAACAGCCAGTTCAACCTACAATGGTCAGAACAAATGCTTTATCAAATAAACTTATTTGATTGACTAGAAACAAACGCCATTTCTCTTTTTTTTTACCCAATTTCTAATGTAACACAGTCAAATTGTTGTAAAACGTGCGTTGCATTTCAAAACTTTATTTTAATGCTGCTTGAAGAACAAAACTGTCATGTAATATGTCATGTAATGCACATGTTTTTTTTATTCATTTATTTCTTATTTATCCTGGGTGATCCATTCAGTGAAAAAAACTCACTGATCTCCCATGGGTCCCAGCTCACACAAAACTACTATTAAAATACAATTACATGTACAATGTAAGAATGTTAAAAGATTCATTGAAATAAACTTAAATAAAATAGGAATTACACAGATCAACAGACATTTACAATACAATACAAAACATCGCTACAAGATGACATCTCCCCCCCCCCCCATTTTTTTTTTTTTTTCCCGTCCGCTTATTTTCTCCACTAAGACTTGTTGGATGCGGAGATTTCAAATGTTGAGGTAATTTATTCAAGCCTGGGCACCCCTGAATTTAAAATTTCTTTTTCCATTTTCTGTTCTAGGAAGTGGAAGTACCACATTGCCAACAGTGCTATTCCTAGTTCGATGACAATGTAGTTCACTGACGTAAATGTATGTATGTTCTTTGCAATAACAAAATATATGTAATATGAATGTGTTCTACTTGAACTCTTTTGGTAGGCATCCATGTACATCTATTTGCTTAAATGCATGGGAAGGCCTTAACGAGGAAAACTGTCAATACATGTTCACGATGGCCCCCAGGGGTATAATAAAAATATGCCAAACGTGTTGTTTTGACAAAGCAGTCTGGCAGCAAAGTCTTAAATAATATTGAATAATAAATCAATAACATTTTATAATAAATCACAGATTCTATGAGGCTCAGCCAGTCCTTCAAATGAGACAAAAGTAGGCGGCCGTGGAAGCTGTCAGACTTATTGATGCCTTTGGGGCAGATAGTCACAGACTAGACACTACATGTAGGTCAAGGTACTTGAAGTGAAAAATTAGGTCAATTAGGTGAGTGTATTCTTCATGCCATCCCTTGAGTACATCCTTGCTCTATGTTCCAGCTGTTGTCCTTGGCCTGAAATTTCTAAAATTCTGCACTGATCAAGGAGGGGAAGTGTGGCCTAGTGGGTTGAAATTCGTGACTCATGATCAGAGGGTCAGGGGTTCAAACCATGACTCATGATCAGAGGGTCAGGGGGTCAAACCATGCATTGTGTCCTTGGGCAAGCCACTTCATCCCCACTTGCCTCTTCCCACCCAGGATTTTAAATGGGTACCGGCATTAGCTAGGGAGTAACCTGCGATGGACTGGCATCCCATCCAGGGGAATAGAAATATTCCGCTCAGTTGTTTCTTGCCATTGAAAACGGAGATAAACGCCGGCCTGATGGGCCATATTGGCTCGTGACAGACTTTACTTACAAGGAGGGGAAAAAATGCTTTTTGTTTTCTTTTCTCAAGTTTCACGCTGAAAAAATAGACTCTGTTTTTAAATTGCTATTTTTCTAGCAATACAAAAGTAGTTCAGTTCTGAATAAGACATCAAACAAACAAGCTGCCCAAGCTTATCGGGACTTATGAAATGATTTCTTAACAATTTTCTAATTATTTGCAGCCCATCAATATATTCAGGTACCGTTATATCTTTTTGCATCGTTTTTGGGGGCGCAAAGGCAACCAAAATAAAAGCGTATTTTCAGAGGGTTGGAGATGTCCACATCAGAAAAAAAAGGTGTTTCTGTTGAAATAAAACATACAAATGGAACATTTGTTAAAAGAAACACATCAGATACATGTGCTGAAGAAGGCAGGTACCAGTACAGCAGCCTTGTATCTTGTGCATGCCATTTTAAGCACATTATTAAATAGTGTACCTTGATTATTTTCAACCATTCATATTTCAAGGGATATACATTGTGTACATGCAGTGCAGTAGAGAACGGTATGCTGAAAATTGGCATCACCTGACCACCATGTCAAATTTTGTATTATGTACAACTGTGATTTGGTCTACACCATAGCATAACTGGACATGTATGTATGTCAAATAATACAGACGTGACATACACAGACATTTCTGACATGCGAGACGGGCTTGAATCCTTGTGAAGCATGTCAAGTATCAATGCTACTTTAATTAAGTTCATACAAGTACATGTACATGTATGTACCATCTGTCATTTTCATCCTTATGGTCGGTAGCACATATCCAGGTTTTTGGTCCTGGGAGGAAGAAGCCAAAAATGGTAAATTTTCTGAAAAAAAAAAACTGGTCCTAATTTTGCTGTCCGTTCCTTTAGTTGTGGTTGTGAGGTGCTGGAGGGCAAGTCCTGCCCCCCCCCCCCCCACTGGATTTGTCACTGTAATTTTTCAATGTTTTGTTGATTAAGGAAACTCCAACCTACTGTAAGTCAATGTACAGCCTCAAATAAACTTAAGTCAAAGGTCACACAGGAACTTGCAATAATGAAAACGACAAGTCATACTTTTCCTAATGAAAAGTGAGCTCACATTTTATTTGCAAATATGGATTTAAAATTAAAATCCAAAAAGTTTGTAAGCAGAAGGGTCAATAAGGTATGAGAGCTAGGAAATATATGACTAGGCAATGAGGCAAGGGAACTATGAAGCATGGGAGAGGGCAAGCAAGGTAATTAGCTTTGCCTGCGTTACAGTTGTAGAGCAGGCAAAATCATTGTCTAATCATTTGACGAATGAATTTCGAGGCAGTGTTACGTAAGGGTAGAAAGGGCGTGTCATATTTGCATAGGAAAGAATGTGCGTATAACCGAGGCGATGGTGTGGTGGGATCATTCTAAGCTTGCGACGTCAGTTCAGTCAAGAGCAATTTTAGAATGGTTCAGCTTTAAAAATAGCTACCCCGGTATATGTAAACGTTGCAAATGTTTTGATTTGCTGGCAGCCACAATTTGTGCTCATGGAGTTTAATCTCTGGTCTTTAATCCATTGGTTTTTTTTTAGGAATGTGTTACTGTGTTTAACTATTTAAATTGCATTAATATTGTTTGTAATTAAACAATTAAAGAGCCAGCTCCAACTGGTTGAATGCCCCTTAGCAAGTTGAAGCCTATAGTATATGGTGTATATTAATTGGTGTTGTGACCATAGGAAAGGAGGTATCATTAGAATAGATCAGCAGTTGGCAACACATATTTATGTAAACTGACATTGTTCATGAGATCAATATAATTTTTCATTATTCCAAATATCAGAATTTGTACAAAATAATATATATTTTTTTTTTTCAAAATTGACAGGATTTCACTTTAAATGTGGATTTATCTGTACCATTAACAGGTTTCCAATGTCAGACTGCAAAAGTGGCAAGCACACACTGCTTCAATGAGTAAAACATATATGGCTTGTGCAGTGAACAAACATTCCAAAGAGTAATTATCTTCAAAGAAATTTTATTCACAGATTGCCATGAACATTTGAATACAAGAGGTAAGCGGACAGGCTTTTCAAAATTGCAAGGTTGAATTCCTACATAACCTATACAGTGCCATTGCTTGCATGCCGACCCATACAAAAAGCCTGGTAGATACAGCAACCATCATTGTTAACAGAAAACATGTTCTGAATGAAGTCATCCACTTCAACAATAAAAAGGTACATCTCAACAGTCCTTTCCTTGTGTAAAGTGACAACTTGGCGAGGCCAACAAACAGGTTTCGACTTTGCAACTTTTCTCATATGATGGATTGGGAGTGAAGCACAATTTTAGTCTCCAGAGGCAGTTTTACTTTTTCTGTACAATGTATCGCAGGAAAAAGATCATCCTGCTACTATTGGATGAGATTCAACCTTCCTGCAGCTGCTATCGATTGTGTCTTCGTCGAGTCAATATATGCCATTCAGTTGATCAATATTGCATGCCATGCACACATGTTAACGTAAGCCACGAGTTCAGGTTTGCTCGCTTCACTTCATTCAGACATAATGGAAATAGCACTCAGTACTATATTTGGAACTGAGGTTTTTTTTATCAACAAAAACAAAACAAACTAACCCAAACCACCCCCCCCCCAAAATGTAATAATACAACAAAACAAAACATGATAATAGTAACAGAAAATGTATAAGTTACAATTATATGAAGTACTTTTGAAATAAACATATAAATTGCGTTGGTAAGATATTATTCATAACGACTAAAATTTCTTTCAACAAGCACAAAGCAAGGTTTTTTTTCATGTGGATGCAGTATGAAAATCGTATTTTGTGTAAATTTATTTTTACTTCATTATTGCGAAGTAGGTTTAACGTACACATTGTATATCAGACGAACTGTGTACCAATGTTGCCAGTGTCTGGTTTTAGTTCATACATGTACACATGTACATGTGTACATGATTGATACATACTACATGTATGTGTATATCACAGTATCCCGTTTTTGTTTTGTTTTTACTGTGGTTGCAGAACTGCATGCATCCTTATTTATTCAGCTTACGACTTGACAATGACAATTATAAAAACATGTCAAAATCCTTAAAACTGCATGATATTCTCCAAAGTGAAAAATGTCATGATGATCTGATCGCATGAAAAATTGTACAATTTTCAAAAATGGATTTTTCGATAGAAGATCAGTAAAATATATACGCTGTACCCAATTGGATTCACACCTACATTTGCACATGCTGTTGTGGTGTACGTATTACTAAAGCCAGAATGTCTTAAAGTCCACAATGTTGTTTACATTGCCAAGGTAACAAAGGTCAGGGGTGAAGCAATAAAGAAAATGGCTATTTGCTAGGAGGCCTAGCTGTTCCATATTCTGTACAATGAGTTACAATGCTGTTTGCGTGAAAAGGTTTGCTGCGGTCTTTAGGTATGCCTATAGGGCAGCTGAGCAGAATGCATGAATAGAGAATGCACAGTGGGCTCATTTATAGGCAGTTGCTTGAATTATAATGGACATTTTG